CCGGTCACCCCGCTCCACTCAGTGTAATCTGTCTGGCAGGCGCAATGAAGTGTCAGCGCATTTAATCAATCATAACTCGCTGAATACAAAACTGATTTTCACGGGTTTTTTTCTCTGCAAACGTCATATATGTAGGCATGATACCGGACACATGATTCGGCGTATTTTAATATTCATAGTAGGCTTAACAGCAATAGAATATTCTGGTATTTGATAGCCTATATGTTATGTATGATAGGTATTTTGCAAAAGACACACATATAATATAGGCTATATATACACACACACACACATATAAAAAAACACTAATGGTCTATATATGATAGAGAAGCAGAAGCAGATTGTGTAGGCCTACTACTCAGCTATTTTAATAAGTTGAAAAATGAAGAAACAATAATACATTATACATAGACAGAAGTTATATATCAGTAAAAATGAATATCTATATCTATGTCAGAAAAAATGAAAATCTACATCTATATCTATATAAAAAAAATGTAAATGTTCAAGTTAAACACAAGAACATGACACCACCCGCCCCAAACCATATTTACACAAAGTTGCTCATGAAAGTTTAAATGAGCTAAAAGCCCTGAAAGAGGACTGTTTTGCAGAGCTTCTTTCTCGTGCTCCCTTTCTGCAGGTCAAGAGAGGTGAGTTTGGCAATGTGGTGTAGTCTTATTTTCAGAAACACAGACACAACCAATGACAACAAGTTGGAATAATGGTTGTCGATGCCAAACTGCGTCTCCTCAATGTGTTCCCCAAGCTGAAAAACATCCTCCGTTCCAATCTCCTCCCGGACGATGTAGGTGACTGTCGACACCTTTGGAGCTTGCCTTGTTGAAGCTTGGCGAATCACCCTCTCTGCAGCTCTCAGCACCTTCACTGTGCCTTGTGATGGAATCACTAGGCCACCGTTGTTTTTCAGGGCTAGAAGGTGGTAGCTCTCATCAAATGATGAAGGTACAGCATCTCTGACCAAGCTTGCACGGCACACATCACAGGACAGCTTTCGCAGAATCTGCCGGACTACAAATCCTGCATGTAGACCAGCGCATTTTCCACCAGACCACTAAACCGAGTGGGAAGATAGCTGTGGTCACTCACAACAGCCGAAATGTTGGCGAATGGAGATGGGTGCTCTTCAGCAGTTTCAGCAGAGGACATCTCTACCGCAGACAGGGACACAGTGTGATCTTGGGCTGCCACATTGCCTGTCTCACTAGGTGAAACACCACACCGAACCATCAGACGGCGGAAGATGGCCTGGAACTGGCGTGCAGATGGATTGTTATTCCAGCCACCTTGTATGGAAAACAGGCACACAATACATACATTACTCATAAGTCATTTTCAGAATGTATTGCAATTAAAAGAACATCAACCCTACCTGACGCTCTGATGGAATTAAATAGGAGCTCCAAGTGATCCTGGCTGAACCTGTAGGTGAGGACATACCCTGAACTTGGAGCAGTTCAGGAATCATCAGCATCAACGTGTCGATGTTAATGACAAATCCGATGACTGACAAGTACCTGCAAAAGAAAAACATTTTATTACTCTGATCATGGCAAAACATATACAGTATACTTGTAGGACACTTAGCTAACTAGGAACAATGTAATTGCAGAACTGGGATAACTTGAGAACAAGAACACATGCAAGAACACATGCAATACATACCATTTTGACACCTACATGTGCTTGATGTTGTGTAATACGTACCATTAGAAGCATCTGGGACCTCAAAAACACTGAATACAAGATCATTCAAATAGAAACAAAACTGAACACAGAAAAACATTGAAATAAAAGAGCATCATGTGAGCAGACAAAACTAAAGGAAAACACATTGTAACAGTAGCATCATATTAACCTGATGTAGAGAAACAGAGCATCTTATGAACTCGATGCATAACGGAACAGAGTATCGTTGAACTCATGTCGTGAACTTTTCATGCATGAATAACAAGCACTATTTTAATAGACCTCTTAGATCGGTGAAGTGGTGTTCCATCTTTTGTCACCAAAGTGAGCAAGTACTCCCTGGCTCTTGACAAAAATGTTTTCCTCTCTATCCAATTCAAAGCACCCAAGGGAGATTTGAATCCTTTGGCACGAGGATTGCGTCCATTCATTGTGTCAGAGTACTTATTTCTAAACTGTATGTTCAACGTGCAACATGCAAACTTAGTATTTGCTTGACTTCCTTCTCTCCATAGGCCTGCTTTGTGCTACAGCAATTTCACACAGAGCTTTACCACTCTAAATGTGTGAAGGTATGTGTAAGGTTATATACACTTTTGTATTTATGAATATGCAATATCACGGTTCATGAAAATATTTGCATGTTGAACTTAGAGAATTATCAACAAATTGTTCCTGATGCTCAAATCACATTTTGATCAATTATTTAAAAAAAACACACGTACTTGGTTCTATAATCACTAACTGTTTACCTCAATGAATTCTGCCGTTGCCTCACAGTCTTTAAACTGAGAGTACCTAAGATCCCTCATTGTGCGGAGAGCAACTGACACGGAGCGACTCAGTGTTTGTGCAGCCAGGGACACCCTCATCTTGTGGTTCTCAAAGTAGACATGTTTGTCTGTGATTTTATTGGCAGCATGCAGTCCGTCTTTTTTTTGCACATCATTGAGATGATTGATGAACCTCCACTTGATCTGTCCGGTGGTCGTTGCAATTGGACTGTATGCCTGCAGAGAAAGATTCAGTCACTGCTCAAACAAGTACAAACAGCAAATGTTGATCATCACGTCCAGCCATAACTGTGCAAATGAACAGACAACAATATTTAGATACAACTTTTAGCAGCAGAGACATAACTTGTACAAATAGGTCTACAACAATCATCATTTACCTGCAACATATTACGTGCCAACTTCAGCATGTGGCATGCATCATTACAAATACTTTGTCACCAGTCGAGGGATGCGGGAAACTGGTTTTAAGTGGCTCCTGTGGGTTTCCCTTCAGCTCACACCCAAGTTGGTTGCACATGCTGACGTTGGAGGCATGCCCATCCATCGTGACAGATACCACCCGAATGCCCCGTGCATGCAGCTCCTCCAAAGCATGACTGAGAAGGACCCTTTGTGTTTCAGGTGACAGAGACTTCGTCAGGTAATATGCAATGGGAGCCTTCCAATGTCCTTGTAGGCCAACCACCATGAACACAAGAGCCTCAGTAGCAACATCGGTCTCATTGTTTCCATCACCCATGTCTACAAAACCAGACATTGACTGGTTATGTGGATTATATTGCACATGTTTTCTGATGGCCATGGCATCCAACATGAGTGCAACACATCCATATTTAGCCTGGTCTTCCTGGCATCTTCTCTCCAGCATATCCAGCATCATCTTGTTCAGGCCAGGCTTGCCATCCACCGAACACAGCCACCTGTAAAAAAATTGAGAAGTAGCTATTTAACGTATTTGCAACCGTAATTTCCAAAAATGAAATTGAACAACATTAAGACTACCTTTGTAATGTATGTGGATGAGGGAGGGGAAGATTTTAGTCTCTCTGAGGTATTTGTATGCCTTTGGACCATGTAGATGGAGTGTGAGGGCAAACTCTCTGTGGTCCTTTGAGTACTCATGGCCCTGCTTTGCCTTGAAGTCTATTTGAAGATCTGAAATTGTATGAGAAAAATTAATAAGTCCCCTTCATATAATAACAAAGGAGTTTAATAAAGAGTGTAAGAGTAAGATGTACATGAATTTCAAAGTGCTAATTTCATCTTACCTGAGTAGAAATCAAGCCTCTCTTTGAGTTCTTCATTAATGAAGTTCTTTTCCCTCAAATCCCCCGAAAGACCTCCTCACTGTGGTCTTGCCCTCTTCTTCTCTAGCCATGGCATTCTTCCTCTCTCGCTCGAGACTCTCCACTCTTGCTAAAGCTTCATTGAGTCTGGCCTTAAGAGCAGTAGGAAAGCAGGCAAGGACATAGCTATGATCCTAGTAGAAAGAGGGACGAACATGGTTTGAGTGAGGTTTCACTTCACACACTTCACTTTGACACAACTAGAGTATGGCCCACATTCTTTCTTATAGTCATCAACCTGTCAAAGCCACTGCCAGCATCATGCGTGTGTGTATGTGTGTGTGTGTGTGTGTGTGTGTGTGTGTGTGTGTGGTGTGTGTGTGTGTGTGTGTGTGTGTGTTGTGTGATGTGTGTGTGTGTGTGTGTGGTGTGTGTGTGTGTGTGTGTGTGTTCAACATGTCTTCAATTGTGTGTGTATGGGTTTATTGGTGAGTGTGTTTAATATGAGTGGCAGCAAACAAGAGAGATTTTACTTTGTCTAGGACCATTATGATATGATGTTGAAAATAGAAATACTCACATCATTAGGCTGAGGTTGTGAGTGTGAGGTTGTAGCTTCTGGGTCGTCCTGAGGGGCCACAGACAGGCTCTCTTCAGCTTTTCTGGAAGTAGATGTAGTCCTGCCCTTTTCCGGCTAAAATAAAGAAGCATAATAGGCTACTTGAAAAGAGTGTATATATATATATATATTAGGGCTGTCAAACGATTACAATTTTTAATCAGATTAATCACAGCTTAAAAATTAATTAATCATGATTAATCACCATTCGAACTATGTCCAAAATATGCCATTTATTTATGTATATTGTTGTGGGAATGGAAAGATAAATGAAAGAAGGCGGATATATCCATTTAACATACAGTATCTATGTTTATTATAACATTTTTCTGCGTGTCAAAATGAAAGACAACCCACACACCTATCAATCATCAAACCGTGGGGTCTTAATTCATTACGTGTTGATTTCTATCAACGGGGGAGTACTTCAGGAAAGTCGACAGAGGGGGGGCGGTGGCGGCTAGTGGAGTACTTCGTGACCACAGAGTGTGAACGTTGTGATCAGCTGTTGTTAGCGCAGTCTCCAGTGAAGGGGGGGAGTCTTTACGCCGGTTGGCGTAGTTTTGGCACAATTCCGTTGTACAGACCGACGTTAACAGCAGCCCTGTCTGTGCACACGGAGACCGACTCTGTCGTCCGGTGATCTAACTATGGAGTCAGATTTGGGTCCATATTCTAGCACGTAAAACAAGCTACTCACGAGCGGAAAATGTGCTTTTACACGCGCATAAAAGGACCCTCGCGCGCAGATTAAACCCCCGCGAGCGGCTCTGCGCTCGCTCGCGAGAGAGACAGCCCTCTTGCTCGCTCGCGGGACTATCAGCCTCGCGAGTCTGTCTACGCGCGCGTGAAAAGTTTCTGGCACTTTGGGCGGAGCCACTGGACTTTGATTGACAGCTGCCAGGAAACCCGGAGTTGCCAGGTTTGATAAATGCCTGAACTACTACCAAAAGCCGAGGAGTGACGGCAGCAAAAATCAGTTGGACGAGATTGAATGGTAAAGTTGTCCATAAAAAACTATTATATTCGTAAAGTTACAGCTAATATATATATTAAGCTATAGCTGTGTGTGTGTGTAGCATTAGCAAGGCAGGGGCTACAGATTTATTTTCGTTTTGTAACCCTCTCGTGTAAAATGATAAATACATTAGCTAAACCCAAACTTAGCTTTCATCAAAGATTCTTAATGAGAGGTTGAAAACGTCTCTGCTTTCATGGAAACCCCAGAAACTGGTTGTGACGGCTGCTGTTCTTTACTGAATGGTTAGTATTGTAACGATCACAAAGGGAGTCGGAAACAGGCTTCCAGTTATTAGGCTTAATAACTCTTCTTATTCACAGATGATCACAGGTTCATGTACAGCTTGTGGGTCAACCTCACACTCACACTAACTCCCAAACATACCCATATATATAACAGTGTCTACGTCACAACTTTCCCGCCCTCCCCCAGTGCTGCTCCCTCCCCAACCACAGGCCCGCACCTCAACCAGCATCACTGTGCAGCTCTATGATTGGCAGAGAGACGGGGGATGCCTGAGTGACAAAAAAAAACCCTCAGCATCCTATACAGGGTCGCTACACTACCCCCCCACTACAAAGTTCCTCGCCCACGAGGAACAAATAAAACTCAGCACAAACACTATAACTACACCTGTACTTTGACCAGGAAGGTCTGGGGTGGACTACCATCCCTTCCAGTGAGACCAGGGCGCATTCTTGCCCTCTACAGGAACCGAGGGGTCTCACTATAACTTATTACCAAACAAAGTCTCTGAAACGACCCGAGGGTCGTGACTTGCCTTCTCGGCAGGGGGACTGGGGTCAGGAGGACAGGGGTTGCCGGTTCTGGCCCAGGCGGTGAAAAAAATGGGGGGACACTCAGTCCCTGATGGGGGACTGCTGCTCTGTTCGCCGGGGGACCTGAGTGGGTGGTGTCGAGTGGACGGCTGTGGGCCCCGATGTTCCTTGGGCCTGTGGAGAAGCGACTCCTCTGTACGGAGCCAACCTGTCTCTGTGGAGCACCACTTTTCTCCCCTTTGGTGGGCAGCTGCACCCTGTAGACCACTTCCCCCACCCTCTCCAGTACTCTGCAGGGACCAACCCACTGGACTGTCCAGTTTTGGGCACCGGCCTTTCTTCCGTTGTGGGCTGTAGACCCAAACCAGCTCCCCCGGCCCGGAAATGCTGGCCCTCTTGTCCTGGTGTCATAGTTCCGCTCTGTCTCACCCCAGCACGTGAGCGGAATCAAGGCGGTCCTGAAGTTCCTTGCGTACTCAGGCCCTGGAAGGCGTGTCCAGGGAATCTGGTGGCTGACCAAACGCCAAAACAGCAGGGGTTCGAAGCTCTCCCCCAACATGAGGAGGGCAGGAGAACAGGCTGAGGACTCCTGGACTGCAGAACGACATGCCATGAGCACAAGGGGCAGATGCTCGTCCCAGTCGCGCTGATGCTGAGCCGTGAGGATGGCCAGCTGCTGTCCCATGGTGCGATGGAATCTCTGACTAGTCCGTCGCTCTGAGGTCGCAAGGGGGAGGTGCGTGTTTTGTGCATACCCAGTTGTGAGCACATGGAGGCGAACACCCGGGACTCTAAATGTCTCTCCTGGTCACTGTGCAGGGTCTCCGGCACTCCAAAACGGCTGAACATGCCGGCCACCAAGGCATCTGCGACTGTCTCTGCTTCTTGATCAGGGAGAGCATACACCTCTTGGCCACTTTGTGAAATAGTCTATGGCCGTGAGAACGTATCGGTTACCCCTGTTTGACAAAGGTAGAGGCCCCACCACATCAACCCGTTACTTCTTCCATCGGGGCCCCCACGGGAAACTGTTGCAGCGGAGCATGGGAATGACCAGGGGGGGCCCTTCCGCGCCATACACGGATCACAGCGGCGACAGAAGTCTTCGGACATCCCCGGCACTGCCCCCAGTAGCAGCCCTGACAAAGGCGCCGGAGAGTCTTCTTAGTGACGCCAAAGTGCCCAGAGCCTGCCGTTCCATGCATGGACTTGAGTACGACCTCTTGCAGACCCTTCGGGACCACCACTTGCCACCTCTTCTCCCCGTTGCTGGCTCCTTCCACGCCCCGCGTGTAGTACGCCCTAGACACAGACGTAGAGTCTCAAACTGAGACCACAGCCCCTGGTTGCTTTGGAGAGCACTGCCACTTCCTCCACGGTGGCCGCTGCTGCGACTCAACCCCACTGCAGTACAGGCTGTAGAACGGCGTCCAGCTCTTGCTGTTGCTTCCACTCTGCCACGTCCACTGTCTAGAGCTCCCGGCAGATACCTCTTCCACTTGCCGCGCTGCCGCACAGACGATGTCCTCCTCCAGCAGCTCCTTTTCACGAGTCTCTCTCTTCTCTCGCAGTAGTGGCATCCGCCGGCGGCACAACGGGCGGCGGGAGAGAGCATCTGCATTTGTGTGGCGCACACCCAGCCCGGTGCTCCACCCTGAAGGCGAAAGCTTGGAGCTCTTCTAGCCACCTGGCGACCTGCCCTTCTGGCTCTTTGAACGTCATGAGCCACTGTAATGCCGAGTGATCCATCCTCACCGTGAACGCCTGCCCACACAGGTAGTACTTAAAGTCCCTGATGGACAGCACCACTGCCAAAAGTTCCCTGCGGGTGACGCAGTATCGTCGCTTTGCTTTGTTTAACGCCCGGCTGAAGTATGCCACCACCCGCTCCCCCTCTGGTGTAGTCTGGGAGAGCACTCCGCCTACACCAACGCCGCTAGCGTCTGTGTCCAGGGTGAACGGCAGCCTGGGGTTGGCTGGGGCGAGAACCGGGGATTCACTCAAGGCACGCCGAAGGCTGTCAAACGCTGCTTGACATTGCTCAGACCACAGGAAATCCCTGTCCTTCTGCAGGTAGCTGGAAACAGGGGTGCGCCGAGTGCAAGCAAAACCCCGTACAAACTTTCTGTAGTACGAGGCCAGGCCCAGGGAACTCTTTCAGCTGTTTCTGGTTGCGAGGATTTGGCCAGCCTGCGACCGCCTGCACTTTCTCGTGCAGGGTGCCGATGCCCTCAACCCCCCACTTTGTGGCCCAGGAAAGTGACCTCTCTCTGCAGGAAATGACACTTATCTGGATGTAGCTTCAAACCAGCGGCTCCGATCCTCTCCAGCACCACTCTTAGAGATTCCCAGGCCGCCTCAAACGAGCTGCCATGCACCAGGATGTCGTCCAGGTAAACCAAACACTGCTGGCGGGGAATCCCAGGACAGCACCCTGTCCATCAACCGCACAAAGGTGGCCGGGGCATTACACAGCCAAAACTGAGGACCTTGAACTGCCATAGTCCCCGGCCGGTGCAGAAAGCCGTTTTTGGGTCTGGCCTCTGGGGCAAGAGGAAACTTGGTAATACCCGCTGCGGAGGGTCCAAGGAAGAGAACCACGACGACCCCTGCGACCAGGTCCAGGGACTCATCGATGCGGGGAAGGGGGTGATGAATCCTTCTTTGGTGACCCCGTTCACCGGTCTGTAGTCTGAGCACAGCCGCCAGCCACCTGTCTTCTTCGGGACCATGACTACAGGTTGCTTGCCCACGCGTGGGCTGTCGGAGGGCTCGATGATGTCTGCTTGCAGAATGCTCTGCACTGCCTCGTCGCAAGCCTGCTGACGAGCAAGGGGAAGTCGGCGCGGGCGACACCTGATGGGACGCGAGTCCCCGTATCAATCTCGTGTTCTACCAGATGCGTTCAGCCCACCTCCTCCTCCTTCATGGTGAAACTGCCCTGGAACTCTAGCAGAACGCTGCCCCAATTGCTCTTGCTGCTCGGGATTCAGGCCGCCACAGTTCTTCCCTCCACAACCTCCAATACTGCAGACTGAGCCTCTTCCACCTCTGCCTGGGGTAACGGGGTGGGGCTGTGATCTGGTTGGCACAGTCCGGGGGTGACAGATGGGGAATTGTCCTGAGCGGGCGCGTCCACCGGGGGATACGGGGAAAGGAGGGAGGGTTTTCTTCAGTTTCTAGGGTACTCACGGTGGGTGTAGAGGGTCTCCCCGCAGACTCAGCAGGGTTGTGGATACGGGTCATAGTAATCACCAGGCCCACCCCCTGGAAACTCACTGTGCCTGCTTGAAGATCCAGGAGGTAGCCAGACGCCTTCAAAAAGTCCAAACCCAGAATACACGGGTCCTGTACATTCCGCTATCCACACGGGGTGCTGCACTTCAACTCCCCCCACCGACAGGTCAGCATGCCTCTTCCTTCATAGGCACCAGCTCTCCTGTGACTATGCGTAGACGCACCGCTGTCGGCTCTAACATAGTCCCACTGGGCAACACGATCTGCTCTCACCAGGGTTACTGTAGAGTTGTGTCCACCAGTGCAGTGCAGGGCACCCCTTCCACATCGACAGGGACATAGCAGGAATCCCCACCACCAGCACGGCCCACCGCGACGACAGGCTCCACGCATGTCTTCCCTCTAAATGGGCGGGCTTTATTTTCGCGGACTTTATGACAAGTTCCGCCCGCTGTGAAGTATATGCAAGTGGTGCAGTGACGCGTCCTAAAACCCGGAAGTAAGCTTCGCTCGGATTCCCTCGACAAAAAGCAATGGGATTTCTCCATAGGATTTTGGAAAATAGCTCGAAATAAGGTCTGTGGAAAACGAACCTGATAAATGCACGTTGTGTTCAGCCGGATAATATCCACATGTCTATCCTACTTTTATTATTTTTGAATCATAAATCTAATCGATAGATTTATGATCGATAGATTTATGATTAGCATAAGTTCGTTCATGATGGCTCACTTCAGTGATAGTGATGACATCGTTGCGAAATTATTAACCGAGTCATTTTCAAGATTGAGTTACAATGATAAACTGGAGTGGCAAAGGATCAGCTGAATGACCCGCCATCAAGTGCTTCATCCAAAAGGACAGGAGGATGGACTTTGTGTTTCAGTAATTTGATCATCAAAGGTAGGCCTAAGTCATTTTCAATGCGGGCCGCCGTGCCGACTTAATTCATTTGTAATTGCTACTTGGCTGTGGGTGCCCTGTAATGATAGGTGTTTATATAAATGATGTTGTTTTGTGTGGTAGAGGGTCGCTGTCATTGATGCGTTTTGCACCCCGGACCACTGTTTTGATATTCCGCTGAAGTCTACGGTGAGACGTAATATCTCTTCTTTTTTTTCGAGGGAAGGGGGGGTCAGAGGGCCTAGGTATAAAAGTCACGGCTCGCCACTGTGACAGGCACATTATGCAACAATATTGTTAGTGCCACAAAGAAAACGACCAACACAATTGCATTGCATGCAATCAATACTTGTTATGTAATATGTGTCCACACTCTTACGACACTACTAAGTATTCTGTTGGTAGAGAGTAATGCTTTAGTTTGGATATCTAAAGGTAAGCTTTACTTTAAAACTACCACTTCAAACTGTATGATAGTATTGTGTTTGTAAGCTTGGTCAAGGAAATGCAAAATATAGTAACACAACAACACAATATTCTACATTTTATTTATAACTAGTCGTCGCTTTAACTTTTTGTAAACAAGTCTGTAGGCCTGCACATCTCACAAATCAAACTTTAGAATGTATTTAAATGTCAGTACAGAAGAAGCTAAAGAAATACTGTATGATAAAATGATTATCTTAAAAAGTAAATTGTAAAATCACACAAGACTAAAAGCAGAACGTCTAGTTAATTGTGCGGTTATCGGTGTGTATTTCCAAACATTGTAAGTTAGCAGCAAATGTTTTTTTAAATCCTTTATACATCCTGTATACAAATGTCGTATTAATAAGCAAATAATATCTATAATAATATGTTTTGATAAAGCACATGTATTTCATTTGTAAATAAGTGCTTTATTATTTAGAACCGGAAATGTAGTAAGCTACAAATTCAGTAACAACACAACTTCCGGTAAGTGGTCCTACTTTCAGATTAATAACGTGAGATACTTTTTTACTTTTAAATGTTTTGTTGATTTCAAAATACCTTTAAAACAAACCTCAGGATACGGTGAAGTTAAAAGTTTGAAAGTTAAAATAAGTATTATTTTACTCAAATGTACTATTTAATTGAGTAATAATAGCAATTTGTTTAAATAATACTCTTATTTTGAAGGCTTCGTGTCGGAAGTCTTATTGTTGTTTACGCTGTCTGCTCAGAGGCAAAAAAAGATGTCAGTCAGCTGACCAGAAATGAAGTTGCTGTTAAATATATTTTGTTTCAGCCTATCACTTGTTATAAAGACAGAAGCAACATCAGGGAGTCTCCAACAATGAGGTAGGTTTATATTTAATTTAAAGAGCCCTACATTAAACCACGAATCGAGAAGGTTAGCTAACCGCTACATTTTCGTACACTACTTGCTTGGTTACAAACTTAGCTAACCTCTCATGTAAGTTTGACTGTTAACAGCGGTGTCGACAATAAACAAACACACTTTAGATAAGTCTATTTGCTTGAAGACATTAACAACGAAGACTTTCGCAGAATGAGCAGAATATATTTGCTATAGACAGTCATAAAACTGTCTGAAACCAGCTGCAGTGACACATACTTTGATTTCCACGACTAAGTCCGTGTAATAGCTTTTTCTTGGGTAAGCATCATGTGAATAGTGGTTCCTCATTAGAAGTGCGTAAGGATGCAAGGTCAGCTTTGTCCTGTCATGTCAGCCTTTTTTAACCTCCTTAAATAGTTAAAGTAATAACCTCATATTGCGCAAGCAGGTGGTGCTGCTGAAGCCCCTTTTCTATATTTGTGTGTTTTGCCCAGACGATTATCTGATTCCACCTCGTGACTGTTCCTGCATGCATGTTGTTGGCCATGTGAGGTTGTACTGTGCAGAACATGTTTGAAATTAAACTGGTCATAGCTAAGAGCAGAAGTGGGAAGTAACTAAGTACATTTACACAACTACTCTACTTTTGAGGTACTTTTACTCGAGTATTTTCATTTTATGATACATTATACTTCTACTCTACTACATTCAAAAAGAAAAGAATGTACTTTTATTCCACTGCATTTATATGATAGCTTTACAACATACTCATTAAGTCACTACTAGAGAGTCAAATCATTTAATCATTTGACAAAAAGTCAATCAGAACTTTGTACATTATGAACAGTATAATGCTACTTGATGCAAAAATATGATCTAGAAATGTCCCATAAATAAATATAATTATATACACACAAAGGCAATTTTTCTTACTTTTACTTTTTATATATTACGTACATTTCTTTTACTTAAGTAAGAATTGTTTTCCTGCAGGACTTCAGTATTAAAACATCTTAATACTTCTTCCACCATCTTTACTATAAGTGCTAAATGCTGGATTACTTAATGTGAGATAGTATTTCACTTGGGACTGATTCCTGCTGTTGAAGAGCAGTGGGTTCACTTCCACACACTGCTGCCAAATAGTTATGATTCCAGCGCCCCTCATTCAAATCGTTGATGCAGTGGCACAGTAAGACTAGGACAAAGTGTTTATGTCACATACCACATCTTCTGAATCGTGATGATGAGTCATTTTTAAATTGTTAACCTTTCTACGCCTGTTGATGAACTGTGTGTCCTGCTCAGTGTGTGCTGAACATGTTAAACTGCTTCTCTCTTGTGTGTCTTACATGCAAATGAATAACATCTGTACATATGCCCAGGATTTAATGTTATTTGTCACGGTTCATAAGTGACTCCTTGTCCTGCAGCATCACATGATCGGGACAATCGGACTGATCTCAACCAGCAACAGCAGACTATGGCCTCACAACGCACAGCCTGCCTTTTCCCTTCTGGACTATCACAAGTGAATGTAAGTAGAGCTCCAACTCTTATACTCCTTGTCAATAGAGTTGATCAGTCTTTCAAATGTCAGAAAAAGTATAAGACATTTTGCTCAGTGTTTCCAAAAGCCCAAATAATGTCCTGACATGTCTTGATGTGTCCACTGCTCAAAGATATACAGTTTGAAGTCGTAGAGGGGTAGGGAAGCCAGGACATATTCACATTGAGCTGGAATCAGAGATCTGTTTTCCTTTAAAAAACAATTAAACCTTAAACTTATCAATCATATGTGAAAATAGTGGGTGATTCATTTATTAATTAACAACTAATAAGCTAATCGCCAAAGCTCTTAATGAACCCTGTAGCCAAACCCCACATATTTCAATATTGTTATCATTTCGCTGTGATTTTTTAAACTTGTTTTTTTTCTTCTTCTCATTCACAGCTCTCTGTTTGACACTTCCTTTCTTTGGTCTACTTTTACTGCCTTCCCTTTTCTCGCTTGCCTTTATTCTGTGACCGTCCTGTAGTCTGCGTGTGATGGAGGACTCGGAGCCTGTGCAGCCCAGCCTCAACTCCTCCTACATCCCGGCTGCTCTGGGTCACCAGCAGTTATCTGAGGATGAGCAGAGCGAGGAGCAGAACCCCTCAGCCTCCCTGCTGCCCAAACAATCCTCAGTGCCTCTGGCCGTGCGCTACAGTCCAGAGGACCCTTACTTTCTGGTTTACATCATCTTCTTTCTGATGGGCATCGGCTCCCTGCTGCCCTGGAACTTCTTCATAACAGCAAAACACTACTGGCTCTACAAACTGAGCAACGACACACATCACAGCGGCAGTGAGGAACAACGCTCAGACCTCAGCGTGAGATTCTACAGCTCATGTTCACCATGCATGTGTTTACACAGGAAGATGCACATTTGTGTACTGTGATTCCTCACATCTGTCACAGTACTGTGACAGATGTGAGGAATGTCTTTTCATATCCGACAGAAATCCATTGAGACACAATCATACAATTAGACAAGGTTAGATAAGGTCAACTAAGATTAAAGTATAGTCAGGTTGGCCAGGAAGATATGCTTCCAATTTATTTATTTATTTCTAAACTGAATGAATGTATCGGTTTCTGCTATTCTGAGATTAATGCTTGATTAGATTTGACTTGGAGATATTAAAAAATATAAGAAAGGAAGGAGGAACATGTTTCATTTTATATTTGTCCTCCCTGCTTTCGCTTCCTCTTATATTGTGTGTATACTTTTTGAGTGTTTTTTTTCATCTTATGTTCAAGGTTATTTAAGTGTTTGACTTCTTCTGTAACTATCCACAGGACTACTTTGAAAGTTATCTGGCCATTGCCTCCACCGTGCCCTCTGTGCTCAGTCTGATACTCAACTATGTCCTGGTTAACAGGTCAGTTCCACACACACACACATTTTGAAAAGCATCTGCAGCAGATAACATATTGTATTATAATTATTACATGTGCACAAATAATAGCTCACAAACTGTGCTCATGGACATATGTCCATGAGCACAGTTTGTTAAATGTTCATATGTAGTTTCGTTTACTGATCTTGTGAAAAACTCCTAGCACTTGTCTCTCTGTGTGTGTTGTGGGTAGGGTGTCCTCAAACGTGCGGATCCTGTCCTCCCTTTTTGTGATCCTGCTGGTGTTCGTGGTCACCACGGTGATGGTGAAGGTGGACGTGTCTGACTGCAGGACGGAGTTCTTCATCGGCACGCTGGTCAGTGTGGCTGTGGTCAGCGCAGCCTCCAACGTCTTCTCTGGCAGCATGTTCGGCATCAGCGGGCATTTCCCCATGAGGATCTCTCAGGCTCTCATATCAGGTACAGTCAGTCTTTATAGCATTTAGACCAGTGTTTCTCAAACCTTTTCATACCAAGGACCACTTAACCAATACAAAAACACTCGAGGACCACCTAACTTCACAAATATCCAAAAACACATCGTTTTTTACAAATCGCCTGAAGATGGTACAAACAAGTGGCAACATGTGTGACGAAGGTGTTTATCTGGGCTTTATCATGCAATCGAAAGTGAAACTTAATCTCGCTCCATTGCGGAGATATTCCCGCGAGAGTGCGAACAACTTAAATTAATTTATTTATTTCAAATGTGAAATTGTACCAATATACTCACGGACCACCAGTGGTCCGCGGACCACACTTTGAGAAGCACTGATGGACAGTATCATCATACAATATATGTTTTCTCAGAAGAAAAACATGTGTCATTTGTAATCAAGGCAAATCTGATATTTTTAGGGGGCTTGATGTGTTGTTGTGCAATACCAATTATGTGCATTATGTGCAATATGTGTGATATATATATATATATATATATGCCATTAATAACGGTGCAATATATACCTGGCTGCTATATCTCAGAACTGTTACAGGATGTGTATTTTGTAAATTGTGTAATTTTTCTTTTTAATTGTTTATCTTCAATATTGTTATATATATATATAGTAATTAGCTGTCCTTGGCTCTTTTCTTGCTGTAACAAATGCAAATTTCCCCTCGAATAAAGGTATTCTGATTCTGAATCGTTTTGCAAGCCCCTGTATGTATAATGCAAGATTAGTACATATGCCTGTTTGCACGTACAGAACAGGTAAAAGCAAATATAGAAGAAAAGATGAAAAGAAAAGTCAAATTCCTGGGTAATTCTTTAATGTTGGCCCTCTGTCTCCATCAGCTCTCTTCTGTACTTTCTAATAAGGCCAAGAAAGATGAATTTATAGTAACATAGGAAATGTGAAGATAATTGTACCTCTTGTTAACGGACTGCACGATACTGTCCATAACCTGAGGTCCTTGTTGTCTCAGGCCAGGCCATGGGGGGCACTCTGAGTGCTCTAGCATCAATAGTGGACCTGTCCGTGGCGAAGGATGTGACGGACAGCGCTCTCGCTTACTTCCTCACAGCCGACGTCTTCATCCTGCTCTGCATCATCACATATCTGCTGCTGCCCAAGTTTGCATACACTAGGTCAGTACCAGGCAACCATTGAGTATGTTCCTCGCATTACACGTGTAAGTGACAACACCTTCCCTTGTCCTGTAACGTTTACTTGAATCTGAATACTGAAGATTTACCATAGACAGGGTGCATTATCTGCCACTGTCATTCCTCATACCACCACCAGAGGGTGCCAAAGATTACCTTTGTTACCTTCTTACCAATTACAGACACTTTGTTTTGCGTTTTAAGTGTCGTAGCTATTGTTTTATTATGGTCACAGCACCCAAATCATTATTTATGTCTTTATTTGATACTGAATTTGACACAGTTATGCTTTTTAAAATAATAAGAAAATATTAACTGGTCACCAAGAGAGCATTATGATAAAACATATGTCGACAAAACAACTTCCATCCATCCTCCTCCGACCCTACCCCACTTGCCGTTGCCACAAATACTATAGATATTGTGTGTTGCAGATAAACCAGCAAAGACCCCCAATTTTCTAATCTGCATATCATTCAGTCAAAGGGCCAATATGTCAAAGACATTTCTGTATTTATAGGATCAACAAAACGTTTTTTTAAATGTACTAGTGACATGTATGCTTCTCTTCTCTCCAGACACTACATGATGGCAGCGACGCACCTTGGTTCAGGGGGGACAAGCGAGGGGGCCGTCTCCGTCCCACCGCTGCGGCCGATCCTCAGGAAGACATGGGTGCTGGGCCTGAGCGTCTTCTACGTCTTCTGTGTCTCCATCATGGTGTTCCCTGCAGTCTCCTCAGGGATCCAGTCTGCCAATAAAGACAGTGGCAGCCCCTGGACCACCACTTACTTTGTGCCCATCACCAGCTTCCTCCTGTACAACATATCAGACTTCTGTGGCCGGCAGTGCACGGCCTGGCTGCAGGTCCCCGGGCCGACCAGCAGGGTCCTGCCTGCCCTGGTGCTGTGCCGCTCCGTCATGGTGCCCCTCCTCATGTTCTGTAACTACCAGCCCAGGGACCACCTCAACACTGTGCTTTTCGGCCACGACGTGTTCCCTGTGGTCTTTAACTGCCTGCTAGGCCTCACTAATGGCTACTTAGGCACTCTGCCAATGATTTACGGTCCTAAGGTGGTCCCTCGAGAGCTGGCCGAGGCCACAGGAGTCGTCATGTCCTTCTTCCTCACTCTGGGCCTGGCTGTAGGATCTGCTTTCTCTGTGCTGATTGTGCACTGCATCTGACCAGGCTGTTGTCCTCTACAGGTGTGTAGTTGAACTATACAGCAGACAGTGGCTGGACAGCAGACTGATGAAGACTAACAGCACACCAGTGTTCTGACATGAGGGGAAAAAAAAACGATAATCATTTTTGCCTCTAACTCTACAGTATTTTGTTTACTCTAATGTGGCTCATGTTAGCCTTACTGTATCTGCAACATTAGCAATGTGTGCAGTTCATTTGTAAGACCTCATCACATCTATTTGGTACAAGTCTTTCTGGTACATATACAATTGTGATGCCAAGGTTGTTAAATGTTATATTAATTCTCACTAACAAAATGTGTGGATAGAGAAGATCAGGGTTCTTACATTTTCCAAATCCATATTTTGTCTCATCAGTCTGAAAAATGCCTCGACTCAGTGGGGCCATTTTCTTACTTGTAAACTAATATGGCATTCCTAAGAAGTCACCAATCAGGGATCTAGCATCTTTTCAAAATAGATTAAGTTTATTTTCAGTAGCTTACACTTTATGTAACCATTGACACAAAAGCCATAACAGATGTTATACTGCACTGGGCAAGTAGTACTCCTTTTTATTAGGGATTCTAACGTATAAGTATTTTTTCAATAGCTTCTGTCATGTGACTCAGTCACTCCCAATCAATTCAGTATTGTATAACGACACCTCTCAATTCAAAAATGTGTGGTAGAAATATTGTAATTTCTACCCAATCACTTACACGACTGACTCCCGAACCATACAAATATAAATAACCTGGATTTAATTGCTTTTATTTACGAATGTTAAAATTCTGCTATTTTCTCACGAGGGAATATGTGTGTAGATGTCCTCAGGGCTGGAATGTTGTAATCCATAAGAAATTTGGAGGATATTGAAGAATGTTTGAGTTCCAACAACTAGATGCTGACTCCTTGTGCGGTTTACAGTAAAACCGCAAGACTATTTTATTTTTTTAAATGTGGGACAGAAACAGCAGGGACTGCATTCTAGATGGCGGTTTTGCCACAGTTTAACAGTTAGCCTTTTTACATTTCAATTTGCAGATCACAAATCTGCATTGTACTGAAGAGGGAGTTCTTTAAATGACCAAGAGGTGAGTGGGTGTTGAGGTAGCACAACATGTTGTCTGGCAAAACCAGTAGCAGTTAGGTTAAGCGTGATAAAAATAGAGAGCTTAATTACTTGTACAACAAAAGGAAATAAAACTAAATAGAGTGGATTGGTGTCACTTTAATTGTTAAAATGTACGATCGAGAGACAGTGGTCTCAGGGTTTGAGGCAGACAACAAATGAATTAGAGATGCTCTCTGCATTTAGAAACAGTGATTTACAAACAGCTGGAAGAGTGCAAACAATGAGCCGAGGGAGAGGTAGTACGCATTTAGATTAATGACCTCCATATCAGATCCTTAAAACAAGAACACACATTCTGTCTACAAAATATAAATGTGTCTAAGGATCAGACATACTGCTAAAAGTATCGCTAGGCAACACACTGACGGGTCTCTCCTGAGCCCACTCAATTTCTCCAGGGGGAAAGAAGCAATACAGATGGGGGGGGTGGGTCTGATGCTGCATCAACATTAAACATGTGGTCTTCCATACATCACACCCAGCAGGAAACATCGGTAGGTACCGACAGGGAACCTTTGACTCGGGTCTCAGTGAAGTAGTAACAAAATCAAATATCCAGTCCCTTTACACCATGGCGTCATTTGAAATATCAAAGTTAATTTATACATAAACTGCATTTATTAAAAAAGGAAAAAAAAGGGCCAAATTAAAAATCAGGAAGCAGCACTCCAGTATATTTTCATTTGATTCCCTACTGGTCAGTTTGTGCTTCTTCTTCTTCCTTTATACCCACACATGGCGTTTGCAGTGATTCACAGCCTGAAAGAGAGAAACTAAAGATTAGACCGGACCCTTTCAAGCAGATGTGTACAGAAAGAGTATACAGGAACAGTTAGAAGCGAAGGCATTAGTCAGAGTGCAGAGTTATAGCCTTAGAAAAAGGTAGCATATATCCTCCTAGAAGCTCAAGAACGCCTCGTCTAGGTGTCTAAATATGACTGAAAGACTCACATTGCACCGAGTTGCTGTCTCCATGTTCTTGCACCAGAAAGCAGGACCCCAGCTGCACTGCTCTGTTCCCAGCAGCCTGCGCACTGCTTCAGGACAGGCTCCCATTTTCTGTTACACAAACAAAAGTCAGATAAATGCTGCATTTCAGTTTGGAAAGTTGAATATCCCCCGTTACTGCTTGTGACAAACAATTTATGACACACGAGTCAAATTTCTCCTCCTTCCTTGCGACAACCCATAAACAAAAACCCTCAACAAGATAAAGTGTTAGTTATGAAGTGGTCTAGTTTACCATGCACACAAAATCGGGGTCGAGCATCTGGAGGAGCAGCTGGATGAGCATTGGTTCGTACTGTTTGATCATCTGGTCACACTGTTGACAGACACACAGAGGTTAATACAAGGAGAAGATGTGCAAGTATCACAAGGTAAATAAATCAAACTACAGCTACTCACCTCGGTCTGGAAAGAGTCGGGCAGGAAGCTGCACACTTTCTTCACTGCCTCCTCAATCTGTGCCTCCGTCGCGTTCTTCTCCAAAATACCATCGATGTAACCGACAGCCAGCTTGCAGACCTGGCAGTATCCGCCAGCCTTATAGTGGGTCAGGTTGAGGACAGCTGGAAAGAGCAAGAGCAGAGGTCACCTTTATTACAAACGTATGAAAGTTCCCCGTTGGCTTCAAAAAAGATGCAGAGAAAACAATGATTTTGAGTTCAGAGATCACACATACATGACATTTTTCTGAAAATGTCCACATAATATAATATGTCGTTAACTTACACAGAATATTTTCTTCATACTATCCCTTTTCTTTTTTTGAAGAAAATGTGGCTTTATATACCATGTCGTTTTGAATCCATATTGTGCAAATACCTTACTATATATTTCTTTCTTTTCGTATTATCCAAATATTATGTCAGGTTTTTTACATTTTTTCCACAACCTGTACTATGTCGTTCTCTTCTGAAAATATCAACATACTATAATTTTGTTTTGCATGACTATGTATATAAACTATTTCCACATGATATACTTAGTTGTTTTTCTTGCATATTTCAACATATTTGGCATCTACAATAAGGAAGATAAATTCTGAACAATGTGGTCTGGAAAACCCTTTCAGTTTTACTCCTTTTACTGTCAATGTTGTTCATGAAGCCTTATCTAAGTTAGATCCTAAGAAACCGGCTGGCCCGGACAACGTAGAACCTTTCTTACCTTAAAGATAGCTGCAGATTTTATTGCGCCACCTCTTACTTCTCTTTTTAACCTCTCCCTCAGCTCAAACACAATTCCAAAAGTATGGAAGTCAGCTAATGTCCTGCCTTTACTAAAAAGAGGGGGGGAAACTATTTTAAATAACTATAGGCCAATCTCTAAATTGTCAGTTCTGGCTAAGGTTCTTGAACGCCTAGTGAGTGAACAGGTAAAAGAGTTTTTATGTAAAAATGATATCCTGTCTAAACATCAGTCAGGCTTCAGAAAGCAACACAGCACCATCACTGCCACAATGAAAGTGGTGAATGACATTACGAGTATTTTAGACAATAAGCAGAGTTGTGCAGCTCTATTTATTGACCTTTCCAAAGCGTTTGATACCGTCGATCATCGCATCTTAAAGCAGAGGCTACTCAGTATCGGCATATCCAGCCATGCAGTGGGTTGGTTTGTGAACTACCTCTCTGAAAGGTCCCAATGCGTTCCCTTTGATGAGCTCACTTCTGAGTGGTTAAACATTGCTAATGGTGTTTCTCAAGGTTCTGTTTTAGGTCCACTTTTATTCTCCATATATATCAACAGTTTAGGTGAAAATGTGGATGAAGCTACTTTACATTTTTATGCGGATGATACTAGGGCTGTGCAATTAATCGTATTTTAATCGCGATTATGGTTTGCGACGATTAGGAAAACAGCATAATTAACAAAATACGATTATTTTGCTGGGTGCGCTTTCACCCCTCCCTAAAAGCCCACTCGGCCACGTGGGAGTGACATGTGTTGTGAGTGATCAGCGCAAGCGAAGATGTCAGAACAAGAGCAGCAACTAGTTAAAAAGAAGGGTCGCGGGGAGATTCCCAGTCGATCGCGAGATGTGTCTAAAAATAGAACAACAATATTCTGTTTTATCGTTAATGTCCTGTAACATAATGTTCCCGTGCCAGAATAATGCACTTGAACGCATCAAAGCTTTGTGATTGGCCGGCCTCACCCCATGTGTCCGGGCGTGGCTGGTGAGCAGTGCACTAGTTCGCTGACGTTGTCCGTGTCAACAGCATGGATGGTCAACAGGAGTGACAGTCCGCACACACACAAGACCGCAATTATGGCAGAAGCAAAAAAGCCCAAAATATATAATTTTCACTCCGAGTGGGAGGATCATTATTTTTGTATCTATTCCAATTCAAAGTCCATCTGTCTCATCTGCAATGCGAGCGTGCCTTTATCGAAGAAGTGTCATTTAGGAGCGGCATTTAAAAACAAACAAACGCTACGAGACGGAATTCCCTCCTAATTCTGCCCTACGCTCCAAAAGGGGAGGGGCCTGAAAGGACAGCTAAATGCACAGCAGTCCATTTTCACCCGGCCCAACAACAAGAGCAAGGCTGCTACCAGAGCATCTTATCGTGTCAGTCACGTTCTTGCGAAACACATGAAGTCTTTCAAAGACGGCGAAGTTATGAAAGAAGCTTTCCTGGAGGCTGCGACGCGCTTTTGTGGGACAGTAAAAATAACAGCAGCATTTCAACAGGTTTTTGATATAATAAAAACTCAATTTAGATACCGTTATTAATCTGCTGTAAGTTTTAGTTTGTTTGAATTTATTCATGATAATTATTGTACAAAATGGTATAAGAATGCAAACATTAAGATCTGTTCCGTTTAAATTGATTATAGTCTATCAGTTCAGAAACTAGTGTTGCTTGCATCCTATTTTAAAAAGGCATTTATTTTTATACTCTAATAAAATGCAACAAAAAATGGGTTTGATTCTATTAATGTTGTCTTTTTTATTGCACTGTTGCTGCAGCAGATTACTGTGTAGCTTCAGATCTGAGTTGTTTTATTAGTAAGCCTAATTTATACTTTTGTAGCAACACTAATTTTATATAATGGCAAAGAAAGGGTTCAGAGTCTTTTCTTTTTTTCCTGTGTCATATGTGGCAGCACTGCCACAAGTTCCTCTTCAGAGAGGGTCTTCAGTACAGGTGGCAATATCGTCACCTGCCTGCGCTCATCTCTGAAACCAGACCATGTAAACAGGCTGGTATTTCTTGCAAAAAATCTTTAAGAGATTACACGAGCAGCCCTACCAGCATTTGCCATGGTGGCCTAAACATTTTTATTTGGTCTTAAATTGTAGTTCAACATTTATTTCCTGTTACTTCTGGACCATGACGGTGGGCCAGCCTTCAACGTTTAACTGAGTGGAATATGTTGAATATGTTTTACCAAAATGTTGGCTATGTTAAGGAGTTTTCAGTAGGTTGTGACAGTGCACTGCAACATATTTGATTTCATTTATTTTGGTCTAATTTATTTTTATTTATCATATTAATATATGTTTAGTATTGTTTTGGAAGTGCGCTCCAACACATTTATTGATCTTGTTTATTGGTAAAATATTATTTGTTTTAAAGTTCAATAAATGGTTAATGAATAATCGTCAAAATAATCGTGATATCAATTATTGACCAAATAATCGTGATTATGATTTTTGCCATAATCGTACAGCCCTAGATGATACCGTGATGTACTGTGCAGGTCCCTCCATTCAGGAGGCTGGTGTTAAATTACAGGCTGTTTTTAACAATATTCAGACTCAGCTCTCTGAGCTTAAGCTTCTTTTAAATGTTGATAAAACCAAGGTAATGCTCTTTTCAAAAGCTAAAAAGACACCAGAGCCTGTTTTGGATATTGTAACTACGCAAGGAATAATACTTGAAGTGGTTGCCTGTTATAAATACCTAGGTATCTGGCTTGATGATTGTCTTACTTTTAAACTTCAGGTCAATAACCTGCTTAAAAAGCTGAGGGTTAGACTAGGTTTCTTTTTCAGAAACAAGCCCTGTTTCTCGCTTGAGGCCTGGAAAAAGCTAGTCACTGTGACCTTTTTACCTGTGCTGGACTATGGTGATTTGTTGTATATGAATGCACCTGCCTATTGCCTGAACAAGTTAGATGCCGACAGTGCACAGAGATTTGTCACTAATTTGCTCGCATTTGCTCCTGTGGGTAATGTCCACAGTATTTACATATATGTAATTGTAAAGCGCTTTGAGTACCTGTAAAAGCGCTCTAATTAAAAAATATAATCCATTATTAATAATAATTGTAAAGCACTTCCACATCACTGTATACCAAGGCAGGTTTGCCATCACTTACTGTACGGAGACTCCGTCGTACACGTTTATTTATAAAGCCATGTTGGGTAAACTCCCGTATTACATCTGTTCACGGATAACAGAGAGTTGCAAGCAGCTATTGTCTGAGATCGTATGATGTAGTATTGTTAGATGTGCCAAGAGCAAGGACTGTCTTAGGTAAGACAGCTTTTATTGCTTGGAACAGTCTACAGCTAAAATTGAAACTGAGCAATTTTATTCCTCTGAATGTTTTTAAAGCAAGTCTAAGTGAAATGCTCTTTGAAACTATGGGTATTTGTAAATGTTGATAAGTATGTAAATGTAGCTTGTAAATATGTTGTATGATACCCTCTATTGTTTCATGTGGAACCTAATTGCGGCAGGTCTCCCTTGAAAAAGATCTATGATCTCAAGGGACAATCTGGATAAATAAAGGTTTGAAATGAAAAATGTTGTTTTTCAGAAAATCTCAGCACATTTTGAAAATAACATCTCTACATAACATTCACTTCCTGTGTAATCTTGTTCCTCCACTATCAGCACCAATTCAAACATGAAATATGTAACCAGTCTACCATTTAAGGCGAGACCCCAGGTGAATAGGGTAATTTTTTTAACTTAAAAGGTATCAGCTAGACATTTCTCCAGTTAATTACTTACAATAAGGCAATTGTCTTTTGTATTACAAGTTTTCTGAAATAGCATGTTTAAATATGCAAATGTCCATTATCTCATTAAATATGCACATATTTTAACACATTTCAGGAATTGAAATCAGAACTTTGGATATAGCCAGATTCAAAATTCTTGTTTCATTTTGTAGTCATATTAGTATCTAAGGCTTTTACAGAAGGGATATTGGATATCTCTTTTTATCACTCCATAAATCAGAAAATACTGTCAACAGCCCTAAAATATCCATTTTCGCCATGTTTTTAGGTATACAATGTTGTATAATTCAGGCTATGAATTATATATGAACAAACCCTTCTGTAAAAGCCTTCATAATATTGATAGGAATATAACTGGAAGGTTTGGTGTATGTACGTGCTACTGAAGTTGACATTTCGAACTCAGAGTAGGAGAAAAAACTCATTTTGAGAAAACGACCTTTAAAGATTGCAGTGAGGCGCTAGCTAAACCCTCCTGTTCTTTGGATGACAGCTTGCGCATCGACGCACTCTGTGAAGGCATTTCATGTTCAGGGTCATTTTATTTTTGTATAATCTTGCTTCGTGCAAGTGACAATTGTTGTCGTCTTCTCTGTGAACGTTTTTTTCGCCGTTCTTTTGGCATTTTGAGATTTCAATTTCTAGCTGAAAGCTAACCAGGAAGTGTTTTAGCACACCACGTGACGCATCTGAACGAATCACGTTGTCAGAAATTGACACCAGCCAATGAGATTTCGTTTCTTGGTTTAAGACCCCTTTGTGCTTTCACGATTGGTTGCTGATACAAAGGAAATGACCATATTTGGATCCGATGAGATTGTGCAGGAGAGACACAGCTTTCCAGCGATATCTCTGTTGACATGGTACACACAGCGGTCGCTGTACTTTATGTTACGTTAGAATGCTAACTTTTGGTGAATTTGAGAAATCTACAGACGCAAATAGACAAACTATAGTAAAATAAACACTTAAATGTGTATTTTGTACGTTTTCCTTCCAAAAGCCTGAAAGAAAACATGTTGTGGAATCAAAATAGCACAAAATCTCAAAATTGACCAGTACTTGAAAAACGATGTTTTTGCCTGCTGTGTCTCGCCTTAAAGTGTACAAAATCCCTTTTTTCAGTAAAGCTAACATTCTCATTCAGTTCAGGCTCAGAACTTACGGACAAAAGCCCGGCTGGCATCATTGCAGAGGGCCAGCACGGTGCAGACAGTCTTGGGGTCGGCCTGCTGCATCAGCAGCTCGATGATGGCCTGGCCGTAGGTCTCCACCAGGTCCTTACACTGGGCCGACAGGGAGCCGGGCAGATACGTGCACACCTTCTCCACAGCAGCAATCACTTCCTCCTGAGAGAGACACAAGAGTTAGCATGGCCCCAGAGCTGAGTCTGACTCACTGCATCATGGAAGAAGTACAGTACATATTGGATGGATCTAGCAGCAGACAGCCCACCTCTGTTTTCTGATCCTCCAGCATAGCCTCCAACTGTTTCATCACCATCTGACAGATGGTACACCCTGGAGAGTCACGGACACGCACCATGGCAGGCTGGAAACACAAAGAAGATACTTTATGTTTTGTTTGCATGTAGAATGAGGAAAAAATAAATAAATAAAAATCAGCTGTCAGGCGCCCACAATGACTTACCTTAGACTCGACCTTGGTGGCAGGGAAAAGCCTGCGAGGGACAGTCTCGACAGCAGGGACAGTCTTGGCAGCCTGCAGGTTCATCATGGGAATGGACTTCTTCATGGCTGTGCAGAAGCCAGCGTGGGCGCAGAAATCCTTGGGTTGCTATGGACACAAACAAAAAGTTAACTTACACAGAAAATGGTATACAAAACCTGCCATTTTGCATGCCGTTAGCATTAACTGTTTCCGTGATCCGCATTCCACAACATGCTACCCATGCAAAATGGTACCAGAATAGAAATCCAAACACATCTCACTTTTATCAATAACCAAAACAAAAACAAACACACCCATTCAGACAAAAAATGTTTTTACTTCTGCAGATCCAAGGCATCATACAAGATCAGCCAGCATTGAACCGCTACATACAGCACAACAAAGATGGTGGCTTTTATGACGGGGAAAGCTACTGCAATGTTAGTAAAGACGAATGCAATGTGTCGTAAACCATGAAATTCAACATATTTTAAATACCACAGTACTGAATGGCGAGTTTTAATGCAGTCCTTACAGTTACGTGTCAAGTTATTAGCCACACAAGCAAAGTATTGAGGTTAAGTCAAGTAGTCTGACTCTTAATTGGATGATCATGTTCATGCATCTCTACAGGGTTAGAGTGGACAGTGGCAGAAGAGAGCTAAGGGTTAAGCGGCTACAGGCCGAACGCAGAGAGAACCTACCTGTTCCTGAGGAGAGGCAAAACCCAGAGAAAACAGAGCCCGGAATGGAAAGGGGGAAGAGTAAAGAAGGAACACAGGGCAAAAAAAAAGGAAAGTGATTTAAAGATGGGAATACATGTAAGGCAACAGCTCAGGTGGGGCTGCAAGACTGAATATGGGCTTAGCACTAAAGAAACGTACCAATTATCACATTTATTAGTTTGATGATTAAGCTTGCCATACGAGAATATGAAGACAATTTATGTTTGAAAATGTAGAAGTGTTTCTCTGGACTTCTAGAATCAGACCGACACATAAGGAGGAGGGTTCAACTCACCATTGACAAGATCGCCTGAATAACAGACGGGGCATACTGGCTCACATACTGCTTGCACTGCAATAAAGAAAAATAATGTCATCAATAAACAGCATTGTTTTATTGTTTCACAAAGACAAAAACCAAATGTCCTCCACTCTCACCATGTCAGAAACACCGGGTCCCAGCAGGTCACACTGGTTCTCAAGATTCTCGATCAGAGAGTCGACAAATGTGGAGCTGTTCTTGGCTTCTGCTTGAGCGTCAGCCAGGAACTTGACACAGTCCTGGCATACAGTATCACTTTCCTACAGGGGGGGGTTAGATCCAGAGCAAAATTAGGATTTCATCAATAACACACAAGGAACATATTCCCGTGTTCATGTACATGCGGCCGTTAGTTGTGTACCAGCTTTGGGGTCTCTTTTTTGGGGGCCTCCTTCTTGAGGTTCTCCTGAGGATAGAGGAGCCCGGGGATATTGAGCAGGAATGGAGACACTTTCTGAGCCAGGTCCACCTGAGGGATCTCATTAGACACCAGCTGTTCCTTGGCATGGACCTTAGCGAGGGCTAGCTGCTGAGACTGGCACAGCCCAATGGCTCCACACGCAACACTGGGGTCCTCCTAAAACAGAAACCTTTAAGTTACGAACTGCCACATTTATACCATCACTTTATAGCTTAGTGCTTCCTTCAAATAATCTGGTATACATGTAGGCTGTAAGTAGCAATGTAGGATAAGGTTTAAGGATGAGCAAAATAAATAGCTGCTTTCATGGATCAGATTACCCATCATTTTACATTTGTATACTTAAATTAGACGCTAACCCACAAATGACAGTAGAGTAAGAATATGGATATTTTCATTGATAACCCTACATTTTGATACATAAAATACATTTCCTGTCATGTGTCCGATATATACTGCGCATCCCTAGCAGTAGATAACCCCAATGACTCTAGCTAAAAAGTCTTTATGGCACGCAGGGAGATGAGTTTAAAAGAAAAGCGACTCCAATTTATATTTATAGTCATGGCCATGTCTTTTTTTTTATAGAATCTGTAATGAACCGTCTCTTTAATTCCCAAAGTTGATGTAGCAGGTGAGAGTTGAGACAAAGCGATGACATCAGCTTCTCCCAGTCACGAGCTTTAGTCTTACACAATGACTTCTCTGTTCCTGTATAGACTTGGACTCACTTCCCTATCAATAGCCCCGATTCAGCTCGCTGCGCTTTTCTCACAGCCACTTCCCTTTACATTTTCTGCACAAAGGGGCAGATGGGCTCTTCATTCAAGAGTCTTAGATCAAACCACAACCTTCAATAAGATTTAACATGGCATCCTTAAAATGGAGTCTATAATGTTACTTTTGTTGTTAGACATCTATCCATGATCAAAACTAGTACAAACAGATTGAGGGTGCTCACCAGTTCTCCTTTAATGATTCCCATGAGGATGGGGTAGTAGCTATCCACCATCTCCTTGCACTCTGCGGTTAAACCTTGATCAGGGATGAGCTGGCAGGCCTTCTCCAGGTACCCAAGAACCTCAGCCTGCAATAGCAAAATACACAGACATCAGTTTTCCAAAGGACTGTTTAGGTTTGATATAGAAGTCATTTCCCCACTAAAAAGGGGTTTTCATCCAACAGGAATTTCATTTGTATCTTACCTCAGTGGCATTGTCCTTCAGTATCTGCTCCACCACCATCAACACCTCTTTGCACAGGTTACATGGCACTGATTTCTGAAACCACACAATAGATTCAATATTTTTTGCAGCATTTCTACAACAGTGGTACATTGTTCATGTATTTGCAGATGAAGTACAAGATTATAAATGGCACTTTCTCAGTTTACATAGGAAAATATTTACGAGTCTCACCATCTGGGGCTTGTTCCACACGTTCTGCTGGCAGTGAGCCACAGCTCCGCACAGAGAGGCAGTCTTTACATTCTGACACCAGTAGGAGGTGCCGCGGGCACATTGCTCAGTGCCCGGCAGGGGGGTGGCAGCAGCTGCAAAGTAATCGAAGGGTCAAACATTGTACAGTTTAGAGAAGGCAGACGCTGGACACAACCATTGCCTTGATGTGGTATTGGTGCTTAAAAGATAAAGTCTGATAAACCATTGTATTTATTTATTTTTGAAGGCACTGCATCTATTGGTTTCAGTTGACCTGTTCTCAATTGATCTAGAATAGGTATTTGAACAAGTTATTTAAATCTGAAAAAGTCTCAATTGCTGGAAAGTCTTGCTACCAACCAACTATGTGCAACAACAACAACAAAAATATATAAACACACACGTAACATTAAAGGTGGGGTAGGTAAATTTGAGAAACCGGCTCGAGATGCACTTTGTTATATTCCATGGAATGCTCTTAACATCCCGATAGCAATGAATATCTTAAGTGCTTTGACAAAAAAATGTCATCTATGGAAGCCGTAGTACTGTAAACAGCACGACCAATCATCTGAGCCGGCCCGGCTAAAATAACTGGACGACCTACCTGCCTGTCAGCCTTCCATCTGTGCACAAACTTATCTCGTGCCCTCATTGGTCATGTTCGTGTGTGTTGGAGGAGGGGCTCTGTGAGGAAGTGGCAGATTTTTTCCGGCTGTGTATTTTCAAATTCTAGCGCACTCGAGCTGGTTTCTCCAACATTACCTACCCCACCTTTAAGCTGTCTGAGGCTCTTTTTCTGCTGTAACTGCATTTCCCCTCTGTGGGACTAATAAAGGTATTCTGATTCTTCACTGACAGTAAACTGTATGTTTCTGCCACTCCTTTTTTATTAATCTTCCTGGTGTGATGAAGATATGAGTAAATTCAAGGCTGACATTCTTCCTCAATCAACAAAAAGAAGAATTTGCTTAAAGTTCTCTATCAACTATGTCCGCGCTTGACAAGTTTGATTTTAAAAACAACTCTGCATAGAAGGACAAAAATAAATCAAGCCACACCTTGTCAGATGAGTTTTTAAGATGTTTTGCAAATAACGACAAGCAGTGTTTTTTTTGTTTTTTTAAAGACACATCAACCAGTGTTTTAAGTGAGCTACCAAATGTGTACCAAGAACAACTTAGATGTGGCATAGAGATATAACTGAAATGTTTTAAAACGGAGGATCATTTCTGAACGGCAGATATGTCGTTTAAGTTTTCACTTTTCGATAACAAATTCACTTTTTCAGTCAGCCATCTCCCTATGCTAACCTTTCTCAAATAAACCAATTGCCGTAAAGCCCTGCCCCAAGAATTATCTGTAAAATGAGAACTACAATTCATAAACTGAGGATTGTGGCTATTTACCCTAACTGTTTTATAAATGTCATGAAGATAACAAACTTAAGCCTATATTAGCTCAAAATGCTAAGTCGCATAAGCCAAGCATAGCTCTAAATCTGGCACGATTTCAAAACCAACCAGCAAGTCAAAAAGCAAAAGACAAAGAAGAAATACCCTAGGGGAAATCATTTATTTAAATAGCACTGCAGGTGCAGAAGTGAAACTCAAGGGTTAGCATACAAAGACAATATTATCTTCTGGTTCTTTACAAAAAACAAAAAAGGGGGTAATTGTTCACAAAAAACAAAAAGTGGAAAAAAGTGATGTGAAAAATAACCTAATGTATGCAGCATAATTCCCTGATAAAACTACCACTCTCCACATCTCTCATAAGTCAGAAAAACTACATTTAGTCACTCATGACTACAATTCTGTTAAGATGAACATGTCTCCATTGGAAATGAATGCAAACCCAAGTACAAGTGTTAACACAAAGTATCAACTGATACAAAAAGAGAGCTGTCCAAGCCTAAGGAGTAACATTTGGTGATCAAACCAAGATATGGAAATGGAGGTCGAGCTGCACAGACAACCTATGGAATCCCCCAGTAACACCGCTGAGTCCCCTCCTACTCAACAGTGTTACCAATAGAGTTAAAGTTCAGCCGGGCACTCCCTCCCTCCACTGGAGTCACATGAGCAGTCAGACAACATAACTAGCTGTTCTCAAAGACTGTACAAACTGAGAGGGCAGTTATGCATGACAGTAAATAGTTAACAAGGCAATACACAGCAAGGGAACATATGTCTTGTTTACTTGTAATTGCTTTATGTAATCTTATACAAAACAAAACCAGCCATCTGTTAGACTAAGAGTACAAGTTTTAGTACTCAGTCAGCAAAAACAAAAAGACTGTCATGTAGAGAGTGGCCTGTATTTGACTCCCTTTCTGGGAAGGTGATTTCAAAACAGAAAACTCGTCACTATGTGGGTGAATGAACATCACAAGACACATTGAAGCACAAAGTCTTTAAATAAGTTTCCTATTGCAGTTTCAGTGTAGCAGCTTATATATGAGTAATGTTTCATCTTGTTGTTCAATATAATTAAGCCCTTATTTAATACAAATGTTAGGACAGAACCAGAAGTTATATTAAAGATATGCAATGAATACACTAAGCACAATTACCATGTCTTTGAGATACCAATATTGCAAACGGTCTGCAAGAAAACTCAGCTAGTGCTTTGATATACAGGCCATTTATCTCAGATCAATACTTCAAATGCTACAAGGCCAATCATCAGTATGTGAATGTATAAATAAATAGCCTAACGTTAGTCATTGTTATGCAAAGCATGATGAAAGAAACACCTGAGCTGTTGATTTCACCGATACGTTTTTGTCTGAACAACAAGATAAGCTATCGACGTTTTTAGTGGCACAAATATACATGAAAACAGTGCAGAAACAGTGACGTATCGTGCGTAATAAAAGACGAGAAAGTATACAAAAAATAATTAGCCTGACCTTCTACTAAAAAGCTGAAACGAAAGTAGATGGTTAAGATGAACCTAACTGTACTTCACTATAAAAGCCAAACTAAGGTCCAAAAAAGCACCAATTACAGTACATAAATGGCTAAAGCAAGCAAGTTAGGGCCGATCAGCAGGGACTGATAAATATATTTTAAATGAGAAAACAATGACCATGCAGACATAAACACCATGCAAACAACCTTAAACCTGCAAGCTAAATGCGTAAAAAGGTAACCTCGTGGTGATGTTGCTACATAAGCTACAACAATGCTTATTTAAGAGTATTAAACAGGCTAAATATGTGGTAAATAACTTAAGATGACAGTGTAAGCCCTATTGTTGAGGCATCATTAAAATAGCTAGCGAAGTAGCATTAGCTAATAAGCTAATGCTAGCCAAGCGGGCCAACAATAACGCCTTCACCACCGTTTTGGTAATGACAAGAGAGGATTACAGATTTAGAAAATCGGTTTAATGTGGCAAATGCATGTAAACAGTAAAAACATTATTTAAACGTGTTTGCTGTAAAGTAACCGCTAGCATGGTTGTTACTGTTAATCAAAGCAAACGTTGTTTGTTTGTAACGCTTCCGCCTTTAGGTTGAAACCAGTCTATGGTTGAAACGCACTTTCGAGGTTACACAACCAGACTTTAACGGCAACGGAATGCTGTCTGAATCGTTTAATTTACTCACAAACACCATTATTGTTTCTGTTGCGTGTTTATTACCTGAAGCCACAAAAAGTAGCGTTAAGAACAGCATGACTCCGCTGTTTTCCGGCTCGTCTGTCTGCGTTTCTCTGTGTGTGCTGTATAGTTGAGAGGACTGCAACGCACTGCAGGCGATGGGTTGTTGATCCCTTTATGATGTCTCACTGTCAGCTGACTGCTCAGAGAGACATGTGACTGCCCGCCTGTCTGATTGATGATCTAATCTGGGATCCTGAAAGGACATACATTCAAACACACATAATATACAAGGCACGTGAAACAAGGGATATTTTTTAATAATTATATAGTGGTTAGTGCCGTTTGGAGCAATCCTCTTGGTTCTTTAATTTAAAAAAATACAATTCTATGTTTCTGCACAAAAAATTAAGGGTTTTACTTTGCATAAGAGAAGTACCAAAGGTGGTTTATTAACTGATCACATTATCTAAATAGAGACATTTTTTAAGAAAACTAAATTACAAAACTTTTTTTTTCCTACAGAATTAAAATGTTTTAAATGTCTCTAGTTTGAGTACATAGTGTGATTTCTGCGGGATTGGGCCCAGACAAGCGAAGTGGGAATTTAAAATGTCATTCAAGGTAACAAACAAAGATATATGAGCATCGTAACCTCCTTTTAAGAGCTTTATCTCTTTAAAAACGGTGTGGGGTTGGGGGTTGTTTTTCCAATTGAGGACAACTCACTTATGTTTGGAGGATCAGTAAAAGTGTAATAATTGTTTATTATGTGTGTTTTCCTCGAGGGCTAAGTTCAAGTTTAGATGGCTACACGACAACTTCCGAAATACATAAACCACATAAAACTGATAAAGTCTACACCACATGCATTGCACATGTTTAATATGGAAGAAAAAATAAGTCAAACTTAAGATAGCAAAAAGAGGTTTATTATGACATAACATCCAAATGTTGGTCAACACCCAAGGAAAACATCAGAGAGGGGAGGATCACACTGTACATCTTCCGGAAACCTGGGAATGAAAAGGGAACAACAGTTTAATAGGGCGAAACGTTTCAGCACAGTCAGCACAACATGATCTCCATAAACAGCAAGTAAAGGAGAGGCCTGCATAAACGGTTCCGTTTTACGGTCGATCAGTACTTTCTATTAGTTATGAAAAGCAGACAAGACATGATTGTTCAATGATTTATCTATGACTTTCTGCACCTTTGTTTACTAACTTAAAGTCATTTAAACAACAGCTTAATCCCATTTTAACACTTGAACATTTTTAGATTTATTTAGATGAAATACACTTTTTGAGTTGATAACAATCACATGACTACAATATGTTACAGAATGTTTATGTATCTCCATACCCATAGTAAGTCGAGAGCTTCTCCAAAATTCAAAATAATGACCAGACTTTTTAAAGTGGTTTTAGGCCCTTGATATCCATTGTCTCTTTTAAACCAAGGAGGTACTGAAATGATGAGTCAACTATTGCCTAGTCCATTGATGGAATACTCAAGAATACTCTTTCGTATTCAACAATTTATTCATGCAAAAAATTAAAAGATTGAATATCACAGCTTCACAAATGTAATGTGTTTATCTACTAGATAGATTTAATTATGACTTAAGGTGTAGCTTTTTTGTTAGCCATCATGTTAACCTCCATCATAACCTGTGATGTTTGGTATATGTCAATGTTGTTATTTTACTGAATATAATTAATTACTGATAGTTTAAGCAGATTGACAAAAAGGACATTATCTAATTGTAGCCATAAAGCCATGGAAGAGTTAAGTGTGCACACAAGATACTCACAATGATGTCACTCCACAGCTGTAGGTTTAATTTATAAACACACACATAGTTAGTAATACTGATAAACTTGGCTTTACCCACTTCAGCCATTCCTTACATTGAATCACAGCTAAGACCCACAGCAGTTACTGCTGGAAACCTGGTCGTCCTTCTTCAGCACAGTGGGCCTCACCACGTCCACGTCACGGTGCAGGTGATCCAGTAAACTAGTGAGGATGTTAGGGGCTGAGTAGAAATCAATCAAAAAGTAAGACCCTCGGAGGTGGTTCTGGTTGTGTTTGTTGATCTTGTAGGGCAAGAGTCTTTCCCCCAGGTTCTCAAGGTCCCTGACCACGGCGCCCCGCTCCATCAGAGTCTCCACTGTCCGCCGGAGAGCCGCCGATGTCCCGGGCCGCTGCATCGCCTTCAGGATCAGCGCGAGCTCGTAGCGAGGCATGGTTCCGGCAAATAATTCCTCGATTCACAGTTTTAAATCTGCTGGGTTGGTGTCATTGCCAGAATACTCAGTTCAAAGGCGACCATGTTATGATGACACGAGGGACAGGAAACGGTTTTGGCGATGACGTATAACGTGTGCGCCTATGTTGATAAAAGCATGGCTAGAAATATATAAATGACAGAGGGGAAATTTGAGTGTATAACATTACAGGGGTTACACATATAAACTACAACTCAACAAATACATTTTCAATAAAAAAATATTTTCAAAATCAACAAAAGTTCGAGAGGAACATGCCATATCGTGAGGCGCATGCGCGCAATTGACGCTTCCGCTCACGTTCCTTCCTTCCAGAAAAGAGCGTGGTGAAGATGGCGGAGCAAAAGTCGAAGCCGAGCGATCTTTACAAATGCGTATATTCCTTTCTAGCGGAGAACAAGTTCACCAAGGCGGCTCAGCAGTTTATGAAACAGACTAACGTGGTAAGTGGCTCACTGTGTGTTGTTGCTAATCTGTGGCTCGTGCTGTCTGTCTCTAGCGTTGTGGTGAAGTTGAGACATGCTGCACGAGGAGTACATGTACAGCCATGTAACGTTGAGGGTCTGTACACCCATTAGGAAAGGTAGCACGTGTAGGAGTACAGGCACACTTTGTTCTTTGGTTGCCATTCGTTTTAAAAGCTCATAATATTTTAATTGGCATTATATTGTGTTGCATTGCAGGAACATGTATTTGATTGCGAATTTGTGAAACTTTAGAACTGTAAATGGCTAATTGAGTGCTTCACGTGTTTCTTTACAGACTCCACAAGATGAAAATGATGAGAGCCTCGTCGGCATCTACGACTTCTGGGTGAAGTGAGTTGTTATTGAGTCAGCACTAAAACTTGTTTAGTACATACTGATATTAATACACTTATTAATAGATATGGCCAAGCCTTTTTATTGGGTTCTCATTGCATCTATCATTTGCAGTCACTGTTCACCTATGCATTGCCTAATCTATCTCTAATACAAACAAAATCTACCCTTTATCAGACTTAAATATTCACTTTAAGAATAATTTCTGCTCTCATTATCTCTTAGGGTTCACTCTCTAAGCGGCAGCTACAGGATTTGTCTCTGTAGTTGAGATAAATATACTTTGTCGCTAATCTCTTCAGATATAGAAGAAATGTATACAATAAATGACTTGTTAATTTTTGAGGTTGCTGTTCCCTTTTTAATATACCCATGTGTCTTCCTAGGTCTCCTGAAGCCAAGAAACGAAAGGCGCCCTCCAGCACAGCTGAATCTAAAACAAGTCCATCAGCCAAGAAGGCAAAAACCAGTGCAGCGAGCTCCAGCAGCGAAGACTCAAGCAGCGAGGATGAAGCAGCGGTTGCAAAACCAACCAAGGCAGCCCCTGCAGGTAAAATCAATGTTTTGATGCAGAAAACTGATTACGATGGTTTAAATAGGTTGGTAACATTTATGATCCGGTTATATATGTGTAACATATCTCTGTAATGTTTGTTTTAGCAGCTAAGGTGGTGCCCGCTAAAGCACCTGCAGCAGTAGCAGCTACTAAAGCGGCATCCAGCAGCAGTGAAGACTCCAGTGACTCTGAGGAGGAGAAGGCCCCTGCAAAGGCCCCAGCCAAGGCTCTTGCAAAGGTAGGAAGAATAATTCTAATTAAAACTGCGGTCGCACTTGTGCGCGCAGTGATGAGCGGGCCCTCGCGTCCGTGCGCCTGTCGGGGAGGGCGGCAGGTCGTCCCGGCGTCAAGCAGACGCGCGCGAGTCCTGGGAAATGAGCCGTTTCTCATTTCTATAATTTTCGCGTCCCAGGTCCTCCGGCAGCGACCCGGAAACGGATTTCGGCGCGCCGTCTCGAAGGAAAACAAATTTCTCTAAAGGCTCGTCGAGGATCGATTATCGAGGAGGCTTTCTGGAGGAGCCGTAACCGAGGATACACTGATTTAGAGGAGAGAGGAGTCTCTCTGGAGGAGCTATAACCGAGGGTACACTGAAGTATTCTCCTGAGACGATTTCAGCCAACAGTGATGTTTAAAAGAGGCGTGACGCATGGCTGGACTTCTGTCAAACGAAGCACAGCTCTGCAAACTGTTCCCGTTGTGATTATAAGTTATTTGACATGATCAAATGTGCATCAGACTTTCTGCCCTTTACCGTTTGTTTACTCACTAATCACATGTCCCCTGGATGTTAGGTGATGTTACAGTGAGAACAGCTGCTGAGGTCAGTGCAGAAAGCAGAACAGTGTGTATAATATATATGGCTCAATAACAAATGTAACAGGCCTACATGTCACACTTTATTTGTAGGCTTTAGGAGATATCTACTAATACACATTAGGGTTAGGGTTAGCAAGTGTATAGGTGTCTGTTGTAATGAATATGCCGCCAGCAAAGGGTGTGTGTGTGTGTGTGTGTGTGTGTGTGTGTGTGTGTGTGTGTGTGTGTGTGTGTGTGTGTGTGTGTGTGTGTGTGTGTGTGTGTGTGTGTGTGTGTGTGTGTGTGTGTGTGTGTGTGTGTGTGTGTGTGTGTGTGTGTGTGTGTGTGTGTGTGTGTGTGTGTGAGAAACCTCAGTAGCTTATCTGACATATAATTGGTCAAAAATGGTATATTCTCCGTTAGCCTACGAGCTCCCCGTTTGAGCGAAGGACTATTCCTTCTCAATGTAGCATGACATTGGATATGCGCTGAAGTTGTCCTGGATTGGAATTTTTCCGATCATTCCCCTGGGAGGAGTTTGCAAGAATGTGCTTGAAAAGCATGTAAAACGCACATTTTTCTTAATGGCCGAGTTCCTGGGGGTCGGGGCTAATGGAAGGCAATTTGAAATATGTGTGCAATCATAATAGTAATGTGTATACAGTAGGGGTGTAACGGTTCACAAACATTTCGGTTCGTACGGTTTTTTGGTCACGGTTCGGTTTTCGGTACAGCAGAATTTTTTTTCACAAAACAAAACATATATATATATATATTTGTATTATTATTATTAAACTGTGAATAATGTATTCACTCAAATAAATACAATAAAATAAACATTACGGTGCAGCATTTCGATGAACTGAAATAATCTGTATTTGAACTTTACTGTACTAGTACTCACAAAACATAAACTATTAGTTTTGGGTTTTTAATTATTATTAAACTGTGAATATTCACTCAAATAAATACAAAATATAATAAAATGAACATTAAGGTGCAGCATTTCGATGAACTGAAATAATCTGTATTTGAACTGTACTGTACTATCACCTAAGCAGCCAGTTTGACATTATGACTTGCTTGTCATTGTATTTTCATGTTTTTTTAAAGAAAGATGAACCTGTCCACATTGCTTGCCGAAAGGGCAGATCTGCTGGCACTAACAATGTCTCCTGATGTGGAGAAAACCCTCTCGCTAGGGACAGAGGTAGCAGATACAGCCAGGTAGCGCTTTGCTAACATGGCAACATAAGGATATTTGGTGTTTGTAATAGCTTTGGCTCGGTCTGATCTTTCTGTGAGTGGTGGAGGCTTAAATGCTATTGGGAGTTGGGTTTGCACTTCAGTCTTTTTTCTTTTGATACCGGTGATATTCACGTTCGGGTGATGCCTTTTCAAGAGTGTGCAAGTTTGATGTATTGCCAGCCGCGTAACCAATTTTAGTTGAACAATGCCGAAAAACAGCTTTGGTTCAGTCCACCTGTCTTTGTCCGTCATCCTTGTACGTAACTGTGAAACCAAAATGTTCCCAAACCGGAGACTTCAATGATGCTGGAGGATTTTCGAGCTCAACTTTATCTGCGTTCGCCATTAATTTTTGACAGTTCCTCAAATTACTGACTACATTTGAACGCTTCCCTCTGACCAGCTCTCATAGTATGCCTCTCATCCAATGAAATGACTTGCTCGCTCTATGACGCGTTGAATCCAATGTGAGCAAATTACTCTGAATGCTGCGACGCAGCACCTGAGATTACTTCCAAAAAGTTATTCACGTTCTCAATTTTTTACGTTTAACGTTATATTCGTTCGGTACACTTCGGTACACACCTGTACCGAACCGAAGGGCCCGTACCAAATAATTTCGGTACGTGTACCGTTACACCTCTAGTATACAGCGTTTCGTGAATATTGGAAAAAGTATACGCGAGTAGTTTGGAGTAATTTGGAGTAATTTGTGACATGTAAATCGTAATAAATGGTGTATTCGCTGTTAGCTTACGACCTCCACGATTGAGCTATAAAAAATGTTCTTCTCAATTTAGCATCATATTGGATAGGGGCTGAACTTGTGCTGGATTTGAATTTTTCCGATCATTCCCCTAGGAGCAGTTTGCAAGAATGTGCTTAAAATGCATGAAAAACTTACATTTTTCTAAATGGCCGACTTCCTGGGGGGCGGGGCTAATGGAAGGCAATTTGAAATATGTGTGCAATCATAATAGTAATATGTATACAGCGTTTCCTGAATATTGGAAAAAGTATACGCGAGTATTTGGAGTAATTTGGGACATGTAAATCGTCAAAAATGGAAAGTTCTCCGTTCGCTTACGAAGTCGTCGTTTGAGCGATCGACTATTCCTTCGCAATTTAGCATCACATTGGAAATGGGCTGTACTTGTCCTGGATTGGATTTTTTCCGATCATTCCCCTAGGAGGAGTTCGCAAGAACGTGCGTAAAATGGCTGAAAACCGCACATTTAAAAAAAATAGCCGACTTTCTGGGGGGCGGGGCTAATGGAAGGCAATTTGAAATATGTGTGCAATCATAATAGCAATATGTATACAGCGTTTCGTGAATATCGGATTAACCATATCCGAGTAGTTTGGAGTAATTTGCGACATGTAAATCGTCAAAAATGGTGTATTCGCTGTTAGCTTACGACCTCTACGATTGAGCTATCAACAATTTTCTTCTCAATTAAGTATTATATTGGATAGGGGCTGAACGTGTCCTGGATTGGAATTTTTCCGATCATTCCCCTAGGAGGAGTTGGCACGAATGTGCTTAAAATGCATAAAAAACGCACATTTTTCAATATGGCCGACTTTTTGGGGGGCGGGGCTAATGGAATGTATATACAAATATGTCTGCAATTCCATGAGGAATGTCTGTGCCAAAATTCGTGAAGTTCTGAGAAACTATGTGACTACCACACAATAGGGGGCGCTAGTGAGCAGTTGTTTTGAAAAATTAAGTTATTTTTTTTTACATTCTTGAAAAAGACGTGGGCTGTGACGCGTGTACCAATTTTTGCGTACCGAAACACATTTTAGCTCATCGTCATAAAATAAAAAGTACAGGCCACGCCCACATTTGTCATTCATTGTGACACTTTAAATATAAGTCCATACTCATCCCCAGAGTATGTCTAAACAAATATATATATATTTCGTCCATCAGTTCATGAGTTATACATTTGTCATGTTTTTGGCGCCCCCTATAGTCCAAAATAGAGATTACTTTTTGTGCTTATTCCCCAATACAGACTGAACCTTACCACCAAAATGTGTGTTTTTTTGGTACATTGTTGATGAGTTATGAGCATTTCTATCTAAGCCCCGCCTTTTTGCGAACACGTTTAGAGTAATGACGGCCACATTTATCGACTGAACATGCTAATTTCCTACGATAATGTGTCTGACCCTCCGGCGATACTGTATACTGAGTTTGGTGTTGAAAAACCAAAATTTGAAATTTAAGTGAATATTTAACTGTTTTTAAAATTATGCTTATTTAAAAAAATATAAAGTAGGCGGAGCTTACGGGCACTTGGACATTATATGTAGAGCAGGTCCACCCGAGTAAGTGTGAAAAATGTCAGGTCATTTGGAGTTACGGTGCGACTTTGTACATCTTTCCAAAAACGGAAATGGCCATAGGTGGCGCTAGAGAGCATGTTGAACAATGTGAACAAATTGAGTCCAGAATATTGTAGTTTTCACCGATTCTGGAATCTGTGCAAAACTTTGTCAGCATCCTAAAGGCCTCAAAAACAGGAAACGCCAGCAGAAAAAAAATAATAATACCACGAATAACAATAGGTATCCTTGCACTTCGTGCTAGGACACCGTTGGGTCCTAGCACTCTCGTGCTCGGGCCCTAATTATAGTTTCATACAAGATCTTGCCAGTGTTGAAAGCCATGTCTGGTGGTTATGCTATTATTAAAATGAATGTTCCGCATGTAGGCTCCTGTGAAGGCGCCCGCTGCCCCTGCTGCAGGAAGGAAGAAAGACAGCAGCTCCAGCAGTGAAGAATCTGACTCTGAGGATGAGCAGCCTGCTAAAGCCCCAGCCAGTGAGTCTAGAGCAAGATGTCATTTAATATTGTGAATTTATTTTGAGATGATTATAATGAAATGTGTTGTATCTAATTTATGTTATTAACCTTTAATAGAAGCCAAGGGTGTTACAGTCACAGCAGCCAAACCAGCTGCTCCTGCTAAAGCTGCAGCTCAGAAAAAAAAGGATAGCAGCAGCGAAGACAGTTCATCAGATTCAGAAGATGAAAAACCAACCAAGGTATGTAAAAGATACTGCCCATATGTACATATCTTTCTTCCAAAACTTAGAAACAAATAGAAAAAGTTATTGTAGTAAAGTACATTTTACACACAATACTTACTTCACATGTCCGATAGGCTCCAGCTAAACCGGCTCCAGCTAAACCGGCTCCAGCCAAAGCGGCCCCCGTGAAAGCAGCTGCTGCTGAATCAAGCAGTGAAGACTCTTCATCTGAAGATGAGGCTCCACCCAGCAAAAAACCCAAAGCAGGTGGGTTTTTATTTTCACTCTATTATAAAAGCCAGACAATGTGAAGTTATAAAACTTGTTTGGTGCTATGAAAACTAGGGATGCTCTGATCGATCTGTCACCGATCGATATCGGCCGATACTCACTCTCTACCGATCGATCGGTGCTCTCTAAACATGCCGATCGCGAGAGCCGATCGCATGACGTAAAATACATGACACTTTTCTCTGTGTGCGGCAAAACAAGCTCGCCAAAATGGCTTCACTGGTCTGGCATTAGTTTAAGGTGTCCGAAAAAGACAGTAAAATAGCGGTATGCAACGTGTGTGAAGCAGAAATCCTGCAGCTCCGCCCGCCGGACAGGTAAGCGCAGCGAAACACACACACAGGGAGAACCAGACCGCAGTTAATTTCCTCATATTCCAAACGAGAAATTACGGTAGCAAATCACCCGGTTCTTTACGACCAGACTATTTAGAGAGAGAGAGAAGAGAGAGAAGAGAGAGAAGAGAGAGAGAGAGAGAGAGATACTCCAATCAAACGAAAGGTAGTTATATTAACTTACGTTTTATTTGACATGATTAGTCTGTCATCTTTTAGCCTTACATAATCTGATAGAGGATTATTTTGGTAACAACTTAAAATTGCTAGCACCTATTTTGGAGTAACGCAGTGGCTCAGTCAGTAGGGGATTGGACTGTGAGCCGTTCAAGTCCCCGACCAGACCTAAAAATGGAGTGTGGACTTCTACTTGGAGAGGTCCCAATTCACCTCCTGCCCTGCCGTGGTGCCCTTGAGCAAGGCACCGGACAACCCCCTCACTCCCATTGTTCCCTGGGCGCTGTACGATAGCTGCCCACTGCTCCTAGTACTAGACTCCTGGTACTAGGATGGGTTAAATGCAGAGGCCAACTTTCACTGTGTGATCTGCATGTGTGACCTCCCAATTCTATTATTATTTATTATTATTATTATTAACATTACAGTCCCTCTTTTGCATTATGTCACCAACACCTAAGTGCTTAAAGTATTGTACATGGGCCCTGTGTTATGAGGCTGATTAGTTTGCTTTGCCTTGGTAGGAGCGTACAGTGCAGTCCCACCTCCAGCTTCAGTCCAGAAAGCTCCCGCTTCAGTGACCAAGGCTGCAGCTGCACCAGCAGCCAGCAAGGCCAAGGACAGCTCCTCAAGCAGCAGTGATGAGGAAGAAGAGAAGAAAGTAGCTGGTAAGATTCACCCAGTTTTCCCAACTTGAAGTAGTGATTTTAGAAATGACACATCTAACAGCGTTGTTATCCTAACAGCAAAGCCTGCACCGGTAAAGACCGCCGCTGCAAAACCAGCGGCGAAGGAGTCCAGCTCAGGTAACAATTACAATCCCACTCTGTCATTTTCTACTTTGTGTTTGATGCCAAATGTAACAAATCTTCCTCTCCATGCCCATGTTTTTCAAGATTCAAGCTCAGATGAAGAGGAGGCAAAAAAGCCTGCCGTGAAAGTCACCCCAGCTAAAGCTGCCCCAGTCAAGGCTGCTCCTGCTAAAGACTCAGACTCATCCAGTTCAGAGGAAGAAGAGGAAGAAGAAGAGGCAAAAAAAAAACCTGCAGCAAAGGTGACTCCTGCAAAGGCTGCTCCAGCTAAACCTGTTGCAGCTAAAGTCACGCCTGCTAAAAAAGACTCCAGTTCAGAGGACGATTCCAGTTCAGAGGAGGAAGAGGAGGCCAAAAAACCTGCAGCAAAGGTGACTCCTGCAAAGAAGCCAGCAGCTAAACCTGCACCAGCCAAGACTCTCCCAGCTAAAAAAGAGGAGTCAAGTTCAGGTAAGAGACATGTTGAGAGTGTGAGCTCTGTATCTCTGTCAAAGTAGTTTATTTTCTGTCTTGAATTTGCTTTCATTTACTTAAACTGTGTTGCCAGTGCTACCAGTTTGTGGAGGGATCAAACTAAATTTCATCATGAGAACTGTCAGTTATACATAATATATAAACTCTCCCCAGTTTTGTTACATACACAGTTGTCAGTTTGTTAGGTTCACCTTACTGCAACTAAGGCAGTGTATCTTTGTTGAGGATAATATTTAGTTTATGTTGAAACTGGTTTACTTAACATCAGGCCAGAATTTTCTGCAGGACTGTTGTAATATGTGACTAGCTCTATCGAAATCAGTCGCATTGACCCGAAGACACATTTTGAGTTGTATACACTGTTGGAAAGAGGATATTCCTAGCTTTCTAATGATATCATGATTGTTGTTCTACTCCAAATATTAAGCAAAATATGTCACATTATATAGTGACTGTCACCGAGTCATCATTTTGAGAAAAAGGCCTTCAAAGTTTTCTCTTCTCTGGGATCCATCGATCTGATTGATTATTAGTGGTAGTATCAAAATACTACGGAGGGAAGATATTTTCGTTTGGAGGGGAAGCTCGCGAGTGTGTGCGTGTGTAATTTTGCGTTTGTGTGTATTGTGTTTGTTTCCCGGGGAAAACACTCACGAGAAACACCGGCTGTTGTTATGCCTGCTGTGACGTTAAGTTACTCCGTTCTCCGCTTGTAATTATGCCGTTACAAGCTTCAAAGTTGTATTTATCATCTGAATTTGCCGAAACAAGTTTAATATTCTGAAAGCCAAGACTTTGTTTAATTGAAATCGGATGAAAACAAACTGTAACGGACCCTGCCATGTTATCTATGATTACTATACTCTTACATTCATAATTTCAGCCGGAGGGAGGGGGGGGCGGCGCTGCGGAAGAGCAGATTGCGAGTGAGAGGTGCCGGTCTTCGTCCCTTTACAAGCTTCAAAAATGTATTTATCGTGTGATTTTGGAAATAAATGTTTCATATTCTGAAAGCCAAGACTTTGTTTGTTTAAAATCAAACCAAACACCCTAACCCCGAAAAAATAGTTTTTTACGTAAATCCACGTTTATTTTTTAAATGAGCCATTGCGACTTCCGACTGATTTCGATAGAGCGGGTCACATATACAGTCAACGTTTTAGCTGTGTGTGCCATGATCAAGTGACTACATTTGTGTCTATCTGATGTTAAAGTAATGTATTTGTTTTTCCAGACAGCAGCTCTGAAGATGAGGCTCCAGCCAAACCTGCTGCTAAAGTTGCAGCCAAACCAAAACCTGCTGCTGTAGCTTCCAAAGCCACCGCCAAGGCAGCTGAGAGCAGCTCTGATTCAGATGACTCCTCTGAGGATGAAAAAACAGTGAAAGCTAAGCCTGCTACCCCGGCTGCAAAGCCAGCTGCAAAGCCTGCCACCCCGGCTGCAAAGCCTGCTGCTGCTGCAGAGAGCTGCTCAGACTCAGACTCCTCCTCTGAGGATGAGGAAGAGCCAGCTAAAGCTAAGCCTGCTGCTAAGCCAGCTAAACCAGCTGCAAAGCCTGCTACCCCCGCAGCAAAGCCGGCTGCTGCTGCAGCAGAGAGCAGCTCTGACTCTTCTTCTGAAGATGAAGAGCCCGCTAAGCCAGCTAAGCCAGCTACACCAGCTAAGGCTAAATCAGCTACACCAGCTAAGGCTAAACCAGCCACGCCAGTAGCAAAGCCAGCTGCTGCAGCGGAAAGCAGCTCTGACTCTTCTTCTGAAGATGAAGAGCCAGCTAAGGCTAAGCCAGCTACACCAGCTAAGGCTAAACCAGCTACGCCTGTAGCTAAGCCAGCTGCTGCAGCGGAAAGCAGCTCTGACTCTTCTTCTGAAGATGAAGAGCCAGCTAAGGCTAAGCCAGCTACACCAGCTAAGGCTAAGCCAGCTACACCAGCTAAGGCTAAGCCATCTACACCAGCTAAGGCTAAACCAGCTACGCCTGTAGCAAAACCAGCTGCTGCAGCGGAAAGCAGCTCTGACTCTTCTTCTGAAGATGAAGAGCCAGCTACACCAGCTAAGGCTAAGCCAGCTACACCAGCTAAGGCTAAACCAGCCACGCCAGTAGCAAAGCCAGCTGCTGCAGCGGAAAGCAGCTCTGACTCTTCTTCTGAAGATGAAGAGCCAGCTAAGGCTAAGCCAGCTACACCAGCTAAGGCTAAACCAGCTACGCCTGTAGCAAAGCCAGCTGCTGCAGCGGAAAGCAGCTCTGACTCTTCTTCTGAAGATGAAGAGCCAGCTAAGGCTAAGCCAGCTACACCAGCTAAGGCTAAACCAGCTACGCCTGTAGCAAAGCCAGCTGCTGCAGCGGAAAGCAGCTCTGACTCTTCTTCTGAAGATGAAGAGCCAGCTACACCAGCTAAGGCTAAGCCAGCTACACCAGCTAAGGCTAAGCCAGCTACACCAGCTAAGGCTAAGCCAACTACACCAGCTAAGGCTAAACCAGCAACGCCTGTAGCAAAGCCAGCTGCTGCAGCGGAAAGCAGCTCTGACTCTTCTTCTGAAGATGAAGAGCCAGCTACACCAGCTAAGGCTAAGCCAGCTACACCAGCTAAGGCTAAGCCAGCTACACCAGCTAAGGCTAAACCAGCCACGCCTGTAGCAAAGCCAGCTGCTGCAGCGGAAAGCAGCTCTGACTCTTCTTCTGAAGATGAAGAACCAGCTAAGGCTAAACCAGCTGCAAAGCCAGCTACCCCTGCTTCAAAGCCTGCTACCCCCACAGCAAAGGCAGCTGCAGCAGAGAGCAGCTCTGAGTCTTCTTCTGAAGATGAAGAGCCCGCTAAGGCTAAGCCAGCTATATCAGCTAAGGCTAAACCAACTACCCCCGCTGCAAAGCCAGCGGCAGCAGCAGAGAGCAGCTCTGACTCCGACAGTGACTCTGAGGATGAGGCAGCCAAACCTGCTGTCAAGAAACCAACTCCTGCAGCAGAAGCCCCTGCTAGCACGCCCAAAGCTTCAAAAAAGAAGGCTGAGAGCAGCTCCGACAGCTCCGATTCAGAGACTGAGGCAAAGACCACACCTGCCAAGCCTCCAGTCACCAATGGCAAGGCAGCTACACCCAAGGCGGCTACACCCAAGGCGGCTACACCCAAGACTCCAGCAAAGCCTGCAGAGTCATCGTCCAGTGACAGCAGCTCCGAAGAGGAAGAAGAGGCCAGTAAAAGTGCTGTAAAACCTGCTACACCTGCAGCAACACCCAAGACGACCCCGGCTGCTAAAGCTAAAGAGAGCAGCTCCTCAGACAGTTCATCAGAGGAGGATGCACCACGCAGAGCAGCCACTGCACCCACCACCCCCACAACAAATGGTGAGTCACAGACAAATACAGAGTATGAAATGTAATGCAGTGTCAACTTCATCCTGGATTACTCAAAGTTAAACATTCCCCACCCCCCGCAGGAAAAAGAAAAAAAGGTGAAGAGTCATCGGAGAGCGACGAGGAAGAGACAGAAGTGACTACACCAAAAAACAAGATGGCAACAACCACACCTCAGACGTTTCCTAAAGCCAATAAGAAGGTAAGGCCAGTCAGAGACTAGAACTTGGTTTTGAGCCTGGTTTCTTAAAGGGGAAAAAAGTTTAATAATAGTTCATGATTTGATGGAAATGGGTTGTGTCTTCCAGTCGTCCAATGTACCCTTCCGTAGAATAAGAGAGGAAGAAGTAGCGGTGGATCCCCGTCTCCAAGACAATTCTTTTGATGCAAAGGTGAGTTCAGTTACGGCGAAGAGCAATTTTAAAACTGCATCACTGAAATGGCTGTGCTGATCATTCACTCTTAATCATCTGTCTTTGCTTTTCCAGTTCGGATCAAACGGGGACTGGGGCCAGAAAGCCAACGACACGCTCAGGTTCACAAAGGGCAAGTCATTCCGCCATGAAAAGACAAAGAAGAAGAGGGGGAGCTACCGCGGCGGAGCCATCAACTCCACCTCCGTCAACTCTATTAAGTTTGACAGTGAATAAGGACGGCTCTTTGAACTTGACTGTACCTGTGTGATCAGGACTGTCTGATCGCTTCCCCCCCCCTGTTACCAGTCCCTCCGTCATCACTACCCAGCAGCACACTGACAGGAAGTGAGCCGTAGAGCTGAGCCGGCGCTCACTTTCCGTCAGCTGCCCATCGCTGTACTGCTTAAGGTTGACACCCATGTGATATCATCACTTATAGCCACTAGGTGGCTGCAGGCCACCTGTTAATGGTAAACGCCAATGTGTGTATTGGGCCCCCTTTTTCAGTTTGTTTTGATGTCAATCTGTACTTTCATTTTTCTATGTATGATTGACAGCCATACATCCCAACAGGTTCTTGTATTTTGAAACAAGGTTGATAATCATTTTAATGGACCACATGGTTTGTTTGGTTGTTTGTCAACATTTCTTTTTGGCCATTTCTTCTTTTTTTTGCTGTTGGTTTTTTTTCACTTAACATTACCTAATCTTTTGGAAAGTAAAACTGAGTTTTATACTGTGTATTTATTAAGTTTTATTCCATTTCATTATTTTTCTTAAGCCATTTTGCTTTGAAACTGATTTCTTCTGATGTTGGGATACATACATATGTTGCTCTAATCTGTTCGTGGTATTGAATGTTTTATTAGTCAATGTAACTGATTAAATGTTTATTTCAATGATTGGAATTTACTGTGTGAACCTGTAGGGACTTTTGAGAACCTTTTTTTTTATTAATGGATGTAGCTGTAATTAAAGACCTAATAGCTCAAATGTTGGTGTGATAGGTATTACACTTTTTTCATTTTTAATCTTCCCTACAATTGTTAAGAGTCATTTGTCCTCAGTTTCTCACGGAGCTGTGTTTTATGGACACATAACGGGGATAATGGTGTTGCTGTGTGTCTACAAATAAGCTGCTTTGTCCATTTAGTTACAAACATTTTTCATATTCACAGGCATTAACTGTTTAAGTGTCAAGGAAAACCGCTAGATGGCAGTCAGGTATTTCTTTGCTCCAGTTGAAAATGGGAAACTCAATGTTCAGTGTGTGAACTGACACCTTATACCTTGCCATAGGACAGAAAGGGATACTCCAAACAATTTAGCCTTGCACTTCCATACAATTGGGAGGCAAGGCTCCACCTGGAATTATAAATATTCTCACAGACTCGAGCATTTTTGGGGGATCGACCATCAGCCTTCCATTTAATGCCCGACCAGTCTTACAGCTGTAAGTGTCCATTAACTAAGAACTTTAGCCATACAATGCCTTGAGAGAAAATTCAGTTTCTTGCTTTGAATTAATACTACTAGCACTAGGCTAGATCAAAAGATACTGTAATATAACTCAAGTTTTAATACAATAAATTACCAATATTGCCATCCTTTTAAAAAAACTTGATGGAGAAGCAGGACAAACGATTAGATTCGGCTGACTGGTTACACTGTTCTCACATTGCAATCATACTAAATATATTTTCTTTGCATTTAGTTATAAACCATGACATGGCCTTATGAAACACTTGCAGCATTCAGCGTAAAGAGAAAAAGCCTTATTCCTTAACAGCACATGCATTGTGCATGCAGTTTATTAATCTACACTGAGGAAATGTTGTGTACACTTCAGTACCAACACATGAAGTGCTGTTGACTAAGGAGGGAGGTCTGCAGTCACTCCAAATATAGCCCCCTCTGCTCACCAAGCAGGGAAACTTAACAGCGTGTGTGCTCGGGGTGTACACTGCTAAGCTGTTGAGAGGGGGTGGGGATGGTGCTGCGGCTACTGTACAGCTGTTACTGGGCAACTCTTGAGTGCAGAACTGTTGATGGCAGACTGCAAGCAGTTAGAGGCCATGTTGCTTGCAGCATGATGGGATTTACACTACAAGATACAGGAGCCTTTAGGGGTTTAAAGCTGAAGAAACCAGTCAGTGCTGGAATAATATGAACGATCTTTAATTGAGGACATTTATCAATATTTTGTATAGTCACGGTACAAGCACTGGGTCCAGCTGCTTCATTTTATATTAACCAGATTTTCTTGAGGTTTTTTACTGTTTGAATATAACAAACAGAAGGCATTATTCACACTTTTCTAACACTACAGATTTGTTAAAAATGTTTTTATCTAACATAAACATGACTGATGGAACTATTAAACATGAGTTATATGGGCTCAGAACAGTCTCATAATACACACATGCACACAGAAGGATTAAATAATAAAATAATAATAAATAAAATCCAAATACAGAAAAAAGTTTTACATATGTATTTTTGATCCTCACATATTTGTTTTCCGTTTAAAACCGCTGCACCTGCAAACACAACCCGCTTTCTGTGCACGGATCGCTGTGCATTAGTGTGTGGGTTTTTTGAGACTCCCCTGACGGTCAGCCGATTCGTACTTGTATTTTTTTCTATCTATAGCCATCAGATGTCTCCTCAATTCTAAGCCAATCACATGAGCGCGCCCCCACGAGGGTAGATTTCTTGCGTTCATGACACTATACGCATTTTGCGCAGTCCGGTCAGCTCGCTAAACAGAGGGCGGAGCTTCAGGTGATCATGCAGAGCTGCGGCTGCGTGTCTCCGTCAGACTCAGCAGCTGATCTGATCTTTCTCTCGCGTCCGGTTATACTTCACTCGCGTTTATGTCCATATCGATCAGATCCAGCTCTCCTGATCGGCCTTTATAGAGAGCACCGATCAAATTAGTGAATATCGGCCGATAATGACCGGCGGGGCTCCCCCCGTAGACAGTTCACTGTCTAGCACTGGCTTCGTAGTGCACTGATCGATTAGGCTAAGCTAACCTGTAGCTGCTCCCTCCACACTCACAACTTCATACAGACATAAATAAAGCTGTATTCGCCACACAGGAAACACACATTTAAAACGGTTTTGCCTGCCGGTTTTGTGTACACAAGCATTCATCAATGGTTCGGAAAGTGGCGCTGCTGTACCTTAATAATATAAAAGATTGTATTTGCGTGCATTTCCTGTTCGGAAAGTGGCAATGTACTGAGTGGAGGTGTCCTGACATTAGCGCCTGCAGGCCATGGATGTATAATAATAACTGGATACAGCGTGGGAGGCGGGGCCTCATTCATTCCTATGAGAGTTGCTCATTAGCGCATGATGATAAAATGGCCCAACTTTTGAGAGAGTGAAACATCACAGATTACCCGGCATGCCTGAGAAGTACCCGTATGTGCGCTCATAGCGCATGCGCAACTTTAACCAAAATGCTCGTTCACATCAAGCACGTCAATTTGCGTACACGTAACAGCACCGCGTGCGTTCATGACAGCATGGTAATGGATTGTTATTATGATGGATTTGATATTAACGAGGCGGCAGTTAGCAGCTAGCGGCTAGCTAGTAATTATGCTAATGTACACATCAATCGTTACGCTGTAACAAGAGTTATTACACCGTATATATATATATATATATATATACACAGTGCAATAAGCTTCTTAGTGCAATAATAAGATACAGGGACGTTAATCTAACGTCGGTAATATTAACTTTATTTAATACAACATTTACGGTAGGCTACAAGATTTATCATACAGCCCATGTAGTATAATATTTTACAAATGATGAATTACAGCAAACATGTGCAATATATCCATTATTACAGCTCTGTGGGATGGCAGTAAGGCGATATGGGTCCGTTCTTATTGTGCATCCATGGGTAAAGATAAACGCATGTAGTAGTGCTGAACACGTAACTTGAACGTGCCGGGCGGGGCGGTCCCGTGGGTTAGATGCGCGTTCATAATGCAGAGGGAAATAACTCTCAGAATAACGTTATTAGCACATTTTTACAACTTGAGGAACGAATGTTTTTAATAAGGGCTATACAAGTGTTCATACTGGGTTGTTTATTTAGTCTAAACAATTTTTTCCAACGAGTTACAGACCACTCTTTCCCCATGTAAGTCAATGGGAAAAAGTGTTTCTGGGCCCAGCAACCTAAAGGAAGTGTAGTACCGCCGTTTGGCCACAATGAATATTCTCATCAGACTCCGGCGCACTTCCTGGGGGCTTGCTGCAGGCAGGCTCCATGGACCTGTCAGCTCCGGAGAGTCCGGACTGCGCAAAATGCGTATATGAAGCGCTACGTCATGAACGCAAGAAATCTACCCTCGTGGGGGCGCGCTCATGTGATTGGCTTAGAATTGAGGAGACATCTGATGGCTATAGATAGAAAAAAATACAAGTACGAATCGGCTGACCGTCAGGGGAGTCTCAAAAAACCCACACACGAATGCACAGCGATCCATGCACAGAAAGCGGTTTGTGTTTGCAGGTTCAGAGGTTTTAAACGGAAGACAAATATGTGAGGATCAAAAATACACATGTACAACTTTTTAATGTATTTGGATTTTATTTACATGCATGAAACGGAACACATTTGTGTGTGCATTGAAAAACACAAGTGTGGATCCGGAAATACAAGTGTGAATCCTTTTGCAGATCATGAAATACAAGTGTGAATCCTTCTGTGTGCATGTGTGTATTATGAGACTGTTCTGAGCCCATAGGGTTACCATAGGTTTTGAGTTTGTCTGAAGAGCAAAGGATTATCTGCTTCATTACGGGTTATTTTAAGATATTGAAGACACTCAGTGGCGACTGGTCATGAGGGGCATAGCCCCACCTAGTGTCAGCAGCAAGTATTACAAATAATGATTACAAAAATAAATATATATAAAATATATTTTAAGATCATGTTTAATCATCTGATTCGTCTGTATATTGCTGTTTTAGTCTGTGTTCTTCTACACTGAACAAAAATATAAACGCAACACTTTTGTTTTTGCTCCCATTTTTCATGAGATGAACTCAAAGATCTAAAACATTTTCTATAAACACAAAATAACCATTTCTCTCAAATATTGTTCACAAATCTGAAAAAATCTGTGATAGTGAGCACTTCTCCTTTGCCGAGATAATCCATCCCACCTCACAGGTGTGGCATATCAAGATGCTGATTACTAGACAGCATGATTATTGCACAGGTGTGCCTTAGGCTGGCCACAATAAAATGCCACTCTGAAACGTGCAGTTTTGCTTTATTGGGGGGGTCCGAAAACCAGTCAGTATCTGGTGTGAGGGGCAGGGTTAGGGTTAGGGTAATGTTGCGAATCGAGTGGCCCATGGTGGTGGTGGGGTTATGGTATGGGCAGGCGTATGTTATGGACGACGAACACAGGCCACTCGATTCACAACATTACCCTAACCCTAACCCTACCCCTCACACCAGATACTGACTGGTTTTCGGACCCCCCCAATAAAGCAAAACTGCACGTTTCAGAGTGGCCTTTTATTGTGGCCAGCCTAAGGCACACCTGTGCAATAATCATGCTGTCTAATCAGCATCTTGATATGCCACACCTGTGAGGTGGGATGGATTATCTCGGCAAAGGAGAAGTGCTCACTATCACAGATCTTTTCAGATTTGTGAACAATATTTGAGAGAAATGGTTATTTTGTGTATATAGAAAATGTTTTAGATCTTTGAGTTCATCTCAT